GAGCAAGGTCTCAGGAAGGCAGCTGGTCATGAGGACCCCACTGTGTGAGGACAAACACAGAAGGCACCACCATCTCAGAGGAACTGGCCTCACCAGACACCTGACCTGCCAGCACCTTGATCTTGAACTTCACGGCCTGCAGAACTGTGAGAAATGTTGACAGGCCACCCAGTTTTGTTACAGCAGCCTAATGGGGTCTGTAACTTAGAGAAGCCCATTTGGAAAACAACACTAAAAACTCAGTAAAATCCTGAATCCTATACAATCCACTTGCAAGAAGTTGTTATGAAGCTTTGTTTTCTTAACAGAGTAGAATGATGGATCAAAGAGGCTAGGGGTGGGGACACTGGAAAAATCTGGCCCAAGGGTACAAACTTTCCACTATGAGTAAGTTCTGGAAAAAAAATGCACAGCACAGTGACCAGTTAATACTACACTGTATACCTGAAACATGCCAGAGGGTAGATCTTCAGTGTTTCCAACACACACACACACACACACACACACACACACACACACACGTAACTCTGAGCTGATGGATGCCAATAAGTTGGTGCTGGTGGTCACTCACCAGCCTAAACGTACATATTCTGATCGTCCAGCTGTAAGTCCTGATGTAGGCAATGGAACTATGTTAGAGGTGGGAAAAAATAAAGTGGGAGAGGATGCTAAAAACTTTGTGTTCTTCTCTCTGCAGAAAACTAAAATAGCAGTGGTCACAGCAAAACCAGAACTGTCCCCAAACCTGGGAAAAAGAGCATCTTCTCCTTTTTCAGCACAACATCCATCAGGGCTGGAGTCATCAAAAACCTAAAGGACACAAGACAAGTTCCAAAGTGCCATAGAAAATTATGATCCAACTGCAGGGAGCAAAGTCATCTCCTCAAGGTGCCACTGCTGCGGCTGTAACGTTACCCTGGCCACAGCTCTGCTGCCCGGATGCAGTAGCGTGAAGGGCAATGAAATAACACAGAAAACCTCCAAGAATCAGGAGTTTGGGGAAGTCTTGACTGAAACACGGTTGTCACCAAGTTGTTCGCACAAACGAGACTGGGTGGACGGCAGAACATTAAACAGACCAGCCAAGGTGTTTTTCAAGAAAATACAGTACGACGGGAAAAACCAAACAGAGCAACACGGAATGACAGAGTGTAGACAGGAATAACTGCCTCCAGAGGCATCCACACCCTCATCCCCTGGCAAATATGCACCTTAGCGGGCAAAAGGGACTTGGTGGGAGTGACAAAGGACCTGGGATGAGAAAATCCCCCTGGATCACCCAAGTGGCCCAGCATGATCGTATGCGTCCTTGTAAGACAGAGCGCAGAGGTCCAAGCCAGAGAAAGTGACGTGACCTCAGAAGAGAGCTCAGAGCATGATCGGAAGGGCTCCCCTTCTAGACTAGGACCTAGACGGAGAGCACTGCACTGGTCAAGGACTGCGGGCAGCCTCCTGAAACGGGCAGAGCTTGGAAAGAGCCACCCCTGCTGACACCTTGGTTTCAGCACTTGAGGACTGCAGATTTCTTCTGACCTCCAGAACTGTATGGTCATCAATCAGTGTCAAGCTGCCTCTTTCAGGAAGAGCTGTCACTACAGGACGTGAGGGCAAAGGGATGGATGAAGGGGGATGGACAGAAGCCCTCAGCCTGGCTTCTGGGGCAGTAGACACAGGTTAAAAATCCTGCTCATCCCTTAAGACACCACATGGAGCACATCGGGAACCAGTCTCTTCAGAGATTCCTGCACCTTCAAATGACAGCCGCTCCACCTGCAGCCACAATGGACATGTGAAGGACACGGGAATGACGGGGCACGCCTGAGGCCTCCTCCGCCCGCAGGCCCTTCCACAGCCTGCTGAGTCCCCTCCTTCATGCTGTTTCAGTCCCAGCCACAGCGATGACAAGCAACAGCCCAGCACCAAGCCCCACTCAGCTCTGGACAACAGCCTCCAGAGGCCTCTCAGCGTCCCCTGCCTCCACCCTGCTGCTAGTTAACCACCTCACGAGTTTCCATCTGGGTTCTCCAACTAGAGCTCAGGCCTCCCAAGGGCAGGAGCTGCATCTAAGACCTATTTTCCAGTAATTTATAATTTTTTTGAAAAGTACATCCAAGTGTGCAAAACCTATTATGCACGGGTCAAAGAAAAATAAAATGAAATGCCCACTCAGCCAGCAGCCTATAACAAAGCCAGCAGCCAAGAGCCAGGGGGGTGGCCTCCTTCCTGACCACTCTGCAGAGGAGCCACTCGTGAATTCTGGGTCATTTTTGTTAACAGTTGCACAAGCCACACACCCATTCTTAAACAACAAAACTGTAAATTGCTGGTTTGAGCTTCACATGAAGGAACCCCACATGACTGCAGAGGCTTTCATCTCTCATGCAAGGACGTCTGGAGCCACATCCAACCTGCACCTGGGGATCACACCTTCACTGTCCCGTAGAAACACAACCATGACTCACACGTCCACTCTGCTGCTGAGGGCATGTGGGTTTTTCTGCTGGTTTGTGAACAGTGTTGCAATGAACATTCCTGGGCACCTGAGCAAGAGTTCTCAAAGGGACATGCCTCATGGCTGAACTGCTGGGACAGAGGCAGCCAAGTGTACATCTACACACTGCTAATGGTCTTTCCAAAGAGACAAATACGCACCACCAGCAGTGGGTGCAAGTTCACGTGGCCTCCCCTGAGCCGCTGGCGGGAATGCCCACAGTGCACCCTCGTCTATACGGCAGCGTTTAGTAGTGTCTCCTTTTTACATTTCTCTGATTACTAATAGGGTTCAAATTCATGTGCTATTTTTTTTCCTAATCTGTGAAATGCCTGTTCTCATCTTCTACCCTTTTTTCTGCTGTGCTGCCTTCTTTTCTCTAAAAAATTTATAAAATCTATAAAAATTATTCACAGGATTCTACATAAAAGTTCTCTGTACAGTGCTGTCTTTGTAATGCTTCTGATAAATTATCTTAATCTGTAATGTAAACAAATGTATCTTTTTCCTTTATGATTTGTGTTCATCGTGTTTTATTTCAGAAAGTCCACCTTAGCCCAAGACATTTGCTCATACTATTTTCTAAGTTTTACAGTTCTGCTTTTCAGATTTAAATCTTGAAGACTCCAGGAGCTTTGTAACAGTGTGACACTGAGATCTCATACATCTTTAATGTCACTCCACAGCACCTGACACACTGCTATGTATACAATATTTATTTAATAAATAGACTCAAATACTGCCTTGTGTTCAAAGCTCAAGTTTCACTCTTTAGGAGGAAAAAAAAATTAAGCATCTCAAACTTTATATCACCAATTTGACAAGGACATTATTGGTATATTAGGATTTGCTGGAATTTCCTTAATTTCTGTTGCCCCTTGTTGATACTCAACTAAACCAAAAGTGAGTCTGAATGGAAAGAGCAGCAACCCACAAAGTAGAAAACTAGAATTCTTACTGACGATCCAATATACCTGACTTTTGTGTATATTTGTGCTACAGGAATTAAAATAGCCACACCTCACTCCTAAGCATGTGCCCATGACAAATTAAAAAATTCTGCTCACATTATCTACACCTGTGCTCACAGCAGTCTTGTTCACAATAGCCAGAAGGTACAGCATCCATGGATGTACAAACCAACGTGGCCTACCCATACAAAGGAATGCTTTTCAGCCATAAAAACAATGCAGTACTGATACATGCCACAACATGCAGGGCCTTGAAAACACAATGCCGACAGGCAGACGCCAGACACAAAGGCTACATCTCATATGATCCCATTTGTATTAAATGCTCGCAGTAGGAAAATCCATGGAGACAAAGGTTGCATCACCGACGGTAAGCAAGAAGTGGGGCAAGGGGAGTGGCTGCCGATGGAGCTGGGGTTAATTAGGGTGGGTGATGGAAGTGTTGTAAAGTATTGTGAATTTCAAAAAACTTATACAGCTATACACTTAAGAGGACTAAAGTGGTAAACTTTGTTATGAATTTTCTCAGTTTTTTTTTTTTAATCTACTTAAAAAAAAAAAAAATCACCAATCTGTTGAACCCTAAAGCCCCTGGAATACTCCTATAGGGATTAAAAGCAGACTGAATTGAGACCACCTGGGCTGGAATCCACAGAGCTACGTGTTGGGCTCAAGCTACACCACCATGGTGCTTTCTCAGCCATCTGCAAAAACGCGGATGGCCAACCTGGCCCCCGGTAAAGCCCAGCTATTCCGGACACTGAAGCAGGATGGCCAGCTTCAGGCCAACCTCTGCAATTCAGGGAGACCCTGTGTCAAAACTTATTTTAAACTGGGCTGGGGTGTAGCAGAACATTTGCCTAGCACGTGCAACACCCTGGTTCAACCCCCAGCACCGCAAACTAAAAAAATAATTTTAAAAAGGAGGTGGCGATAAGAATTCCTAAGACTACGTTGCGAACTAAATGAGGCAAGCTATAAAAGGCACGAAGAAGGGCGCCCGTCCCCAGGGCTCGGTGCCCCTCGCCACCAGCCAGCACTGCCCTCTTTTCAAGGCTGATGCCGGCTGTCGGCTGCCGGGGAGCTGACTTTTCGCAAGGCCCCCAGAGCCGTCTTCCTCGGGTCTCCTGCTTCTCTCCAACCCGGCGGCCGGACTCCACATCCCGGTAGACGCGGGAACTGCGCTTCCGGCCCACTCGGCCTCCAGGACGGCGGGGCTCGCGGAGGCCGGCGGCGCGAGGTGCACGCCCGCCGCCCGGGGCAGCAGGTGCAGCGCTCGGCGCCCGCGCGGCCCTGCCCTCCCGAGGGGCGGAGGCGGCGCCCGCTCGCTGAGCGCGGCAGCTCCGAACCCCGGCTAGTGGGCCGGGCGGCGGCCGCGGAGCCCGCACGGGCCGAGCCGCGCGGGACGGGGATAAAGAGCGCGGCCGAGGAGGGCGGCTCCGTGAGCGGGCGGGGCCCGCGGGAGAGGGCCGGGGCCGGGCGGCGGGGGTCGAGGGAGGGCCGGGCCGGGGGCGAGGGGGCCCGGCGGGGCGCGGTACCTGCTGCGGCGCAATCTCCAGAGCCCGTCCCGCCGGACCCGCGCGGCCGCCGCCCCCGTCTCCGCCGGCGCGCCTCACGTGACCCGCGCAGGCGCCGGGGGCGGAACCTTGCTAGGCCCGCCCCGCGCCCGTGCTCGAGTGCGCGTGCGCAGCGGTTGCCGTGACGACCGGGGAAGCATTGGGCTGCCAACGATCCCGGTGTCCTGGTCTGTGGGGAAGGAAAGCCGCGCCTCTGACCGGGGTGGGCAGCGGCCGCAGCAACTGTTCGGGGTCAGAGGAGCGAGCATGCACCCCGAGGCCTCGGAGCCCGCGGAGGACGCGGCGGCCGAGCTGGACCGCGCGCAGGAGCCGGGCGTGGAGGAGTCCGCGGGTGACCACCGGGACGCAGGCCAAGGGACCCGCAAGGAAGGTGCGGAACGCCGCCCAGGGAGGGCCGGGGACGATGGGCGAGCTCCCAGCACCACCTACCCGGTCTTCAGCCCGCGAAAGCAATAATAATAATAATAATAATAATAATAATAATAGTAATAATAATAATAATAATAAAAGTAATAATAGTAATAATGGCAGTCAACGCGTTAAAGGAGACGTGCCAAGCGCCTTTTCACTTGAGCCGGACACATGCCCTCTGCACCCTCCCTGGGTTTCATACAGATGAAGAAGCCACCTTGCTTTAAATGATTGCTCTCAGCTAGTCATATGGCAGTGTGACTCCCTTGCCCAAACCCTTACCCAACACATATTCTCCTCCCTCCCAAGTTTGGTTTTGAATGTTTCCTTTTATCGCTATCACCCTGTAAGATGAAAGGCTGTCTCCCCTTCTAGACAGTGAGCGGACATCAGGGCATCCCATTCTGATAGAATCTGAACTTTCTCTCCGGGAATGGGCTGGTTTGACCCTAGTGAAAATTTTCACTACTAGATAAACTAGTTAATTTGTGTTTCTTTTTTTTTTTTTTCAACCCAATCAACAAATGCATCTTGAGCACCAGCTTTCCAGACAAACACCATAGGAGGAGCTGTAGGAAGTTAATATTGCTCACTGGACAGTCCCAGGCTTCCCAGTCACTCACGTTGCAGCTGTCAGCGTCCCAGCTTTGTGGTCTTTGGCCTAGAGCTGATGTCACTGAGCTTCAGCCTCTTCATCTTTAAACAGGGTCAATTATACAAAGATACACAGAAATAAGTGTAATTAAAGTTTCTGGCATATATGGGGCCTTTATAATCAGTCAATTATACATTGAGCACCTATTCCTTATTCCACAAACATGGATCCAGTGCCTCCTTTGGGAGTACCATACCAGTGAGGAATCAGCGCGCATAAGAGTCTCCCCACATACAGGGATCCACAGAACGCAGAGAATGACAGCCAGCAGCCCTTATAACACCTACATTTCAATTGGCCAATTTATATCGCTGTTTTAAAAGAAAGTGTATTTGAATATGCTTAGGTCCTTTATACCAAAGGAATTCTCACCATTTTTATTTTCATGAGGTTTTTTTTTTTAGAGATTTTTTTTAAAACAAAAGAACAGAGAACATTATAACAAATATCCACTATTACCACCCAAAACTGAAAATGATTAACATTTTGTCATATTTACATGCAATCTTTTCTTTTTTGGATAAGGACATCACATTTCACTTAAAGTCAATGTTCCTTTCTCACCCCCCTTCCTGATCCCATTCTCTTTCTATCTTTTCCAGAATTTTCTACAGTTTCTTCCAATTCCTTCTCTACACGTGTGTCCTTAAACAATGCATAGCATTGGTTTGCATGTTTTTAATTTATATAAATGGAACCCTATGCTTTCTATGAAACTTGATTTTTTTCACTCCATATGTGTTTCTGAGAATAATCCATACTGATTGAGATAGCCCTTGGTGCATTCCTTTCAAAGACAGAAGAGTAATTGATCATTATATGTGACCATCCCCCTCTGTGTAGATATTTATGTGTTTAACAGATTTTGGCGGTTACAAACAATGCAAAAACAAATATCTTTGTACAATTTCTAAGCCCGCCTGTACATTTTCTATAGAGAACCAAACTAGAAGTGAAATTTACATAGTATTTACGTGTGTGTCAAGAATTGGACATTTTTTGACATTTGGACATTTTTGATGGTTTCAAACCAAAAGTAGACAATTATTAATCAGGTTGAAATAGGGGGAATTTTTTTTTTGTGTACATTTTCTGACCTTTATAAACTGGATCTCTTTTATTTTGCAGAAATTAATGATCCTAAGGAAATATGCATGGGTGTTTCTGACACTGCCTACCAAAACCAGCAGAAACAGAGTGGTGATAGTGCATCAGACAGTCAATTAACACACCCAAAAGAGGACAGGGATGATCGGGGCCCCAGGTATGGGCAAGCTGCCAGTTAGTGCACTTCTGCCAAGTAGAGTGCGTGGTGTGATTGATCACCCTTTATATGGGAAGTGGAGGCTCGTGGAGACTGAATAGCCCACCTGATGCCTGAAAATTACAAGCAGCTGACTCAGGCTGGCACTACTTCTGTGGCACAACTAATAGCCCATGCTATTAAACTTTAATGTCAGACCTCGAGAGAGAACATCTGTGGGTCTTGATGACACTGTTAAAAGTATTTTTATTAGGACATGCATTGCAGTATTTAAGAATGCTGAAAGTAACAATATTGGATGAGTCCCTGATTCTAGACCAAAAAGATGGGGAGGAAGCAAGGTGAGGCAGGGAGCAGAGGAGGAGGAGGAGGACTTAAAATACGTATCAAGCATACAGGACTTAGAATTATAGGCTGGATTAGTAAAGAACTTTTGGAATAAATCATAGCTGATAAATAGAAATTTCTTGTCCACCTTTTTCATTTTAACAGAATGACTAAACATTTCCTGCAGAAACTCTGCAAGCAACACAAGCTTTACATCACCCCAGAGTTGAATGATACTCTGTATTTGCACTTCAAAGGTAAGGCTTGCAAGGAGACACTTAACTTACAAAAAGGTATCAACAGTTAGTTGCAGGGACCAACACAGTGCTCAGACTTGAGTAGGAATCTCTTGAGTTTAGTGGAGATTTATGTGAAAACAAGCAGAAGTCTTCACCAGTGAGAATTTATAAAGGGGACACTGGCTAGATGAACACAATATATGTTTTGAAAACAGAAAGCCAGTTTGTAAATACCTGGGCTTGGGAGGGGTACCTTGGGAAGGACTGAAGATTGATGCAGAAAACAAAGGAAGAGGATCTTTGGCTGCCTCTCAGAAGGAAAAGGTATGAACAGAGCCTCCCTAGGTCTTGGGCTTGGTGTCCAGAATCACATCTAAATCTGAATTCAGGTCCTCAGGCAGGGCTCTTCCTAGCAGGTAGAAAGAGAAAACAGGTGTGTGCTTCCAGTGCGTGCTGAGTTTGGGGTGGCACCTGCTGCAGCCGTCAGGGATCTGTTCATCTCGTTTGGTAAATATTCACTGAGTGTCTTCTGCCTTCTGCGGCCCATGTTCAATGCTGGGGATACAGAAATAGGTGTGGCAGAGATGGTTCAGGCATCCAGGGGGGTGGAGAGGCCACTGGGAAGAAGGTGCCATGCCAGGAAGGCACACAGTGGCCCAAGCAGCACAAATGCCGTGGTTGCTGGATTGACTCCTAACTGGTCACCTCGCCTCCACTTTTGCCCCTGCCTCCAAAATTCTCCAGCCAGCATCTAAGTGAAGCAGTGGATGAGATGACGTGGGAGGCCAGATCCCAGGGGACCGATACTGAGAGATGGGAAGAAGATCCGGTACTTTAGGTCAATTAGAAAGAATCAGAGAGGCAGTGGAACAGGGAGACAGAGGAGCCTACACTAGTTGCCTACCATTGCGTAACAAATCACTCTGACACTTAGCAAATCTGAAAACAAATTCATGGGCTAGGGATACGCCCTGTGGTACAGTGCTCACCTAGCATGTGTGAGCCCCCAGGTTCAAAACTCAGCACTGCAAAAAAATACATACAAAAATAAAATTGCCATCTCACACTATTTCTGAAGCCAGAAGCCAAGGAATAGTTAGTTAGTGGTTCTGCTCAGGGTCACCCAGGAAGGCTGTGGCAGAGCTGGTAGCCAGGCCTCAGCTGTCTGTGGATGCAGAACCCACATCCTAGCTCTGAGCCTCAGGCCTTCCCTAGCTTTTGGGGAGACCTTAATTACTCACTCCAGGGCCTCTGGACAGAAGCTGGCTTCCCCCAAAGCTGGGTACCCAAGAGAGCACGAGGCCAGGATGTAAGCCCCAGGTCTGGAAGTGCCACATCATCTGCTCTCAACCCTGCTCTGACTGCACCATAACACACAGGTGTGAAGGCCAGGAGGTGGTGATCTACGGCCATGGCATGCAGAGTGGTCCAGAGGCCTCAGAAAAAGCTGCAAAATGGCAGGCAGGGCCACCAGGTCAGACCTCAGACTGGTCAGGACTAAGGACTGACAATGGGACTGAGCAATCAGGATGTCACTGGGACCTTGGCAGCTGGTGGTACAGATGGCAGACAGAAGGAACAGGAATGAATTGGAGACTGACCTGAAGCGCAAGGAAGTCTTTCCCGTGATGGGGCGGGGATGGGGGAAACAGGGTCAGAGCCGGAGAGCGGGCAAGAGAGATGTGGCTCATAAAACCACTGATGGCCTAGCCCTGGGCTTGGCTGAATGGCCCGCCCAGAGCTCTTCTCTGCGGGGGTCTCTCTTCCTTCCTTGGCCCATCTTCCTCTGTGCTAGTCCATTTTCAGGGCAGGTTCACCTCTGACCCCAGGCACTGCAGCCCCGAGGGGAAGATGGCTGCTGCAGTACTGGGCTCCACCAGCACTAGGCTCTCCCCACCAGGCTGGCAATTCTGTCCAGTGAAGCCAGAAAACCTCCCCAGACTCATCAGAGGTAGTCCCACTTGGCTAAGTGTGGCCAGCTCCAAATGAATCATTGTGACTGATCAGCCACCTAGGGAGCCATCGGGTGGTCTTAGCAGGGGATGGTCCTCCGAGAAAGCTGCAACAGGAGGAAGATGGTAGATGTCTTGGCTGCCATGGAGGCTGAAAGTCCAAGGTCAAGGCTCTGCCAAATTTGATGCCTTCTGCTGAGGGCTGCTTTCTGGCTCATAGACGGCGCCTCTGTGTCCTCACATAGTGGAAGGGGTGAGGAAGTTCTGTGGGGCCTCTGTGATAATGACACTGATCCCATTCCTGAGGGCTCCACCCCCATGACTAATCCCCCCCATAGGCCCCACCTCCCAACACCATCACACTAGAGGTTGGGGGTCTCAGCATAGGACTTTTTTTTTTCCATTCCTTTCCCTTTTTTGGGGGGGGGGGATTGAACCCAGGGGCAGTTAACCACCAAGTCACATTTTCAGTCCTTTTTAATTTTTAATTTTGAGACAGGGCCTCACTAAGTTGCTTAGGCTCTCTCTAAGTTGCTAAGGCTGGCTTAGAACTTGCAATTCTCCTGCCTCAGCCTCCCATGTCACTGGGATTACAGGCATGTGCCATTGCGCCCAACGTATGATTTTTGAGGGGGCACTAACATTCAGTCCATAATAGTAGGCAAAAACCAGGGTACTGTAACCTTTGCCCCTGGGTAGTAGGAGTGTACTGGACACCCCATCCCCCTTGCCAGGTTTCGACCGCATCGAGAACCTGCAGGAGTACACGGGCCTGCGCTGTCTCTGGCTGGAGTGCAATGGGATACAGAAGATCGAGAACCTGGAGGCGCAAACAGAACTGCGTTGCCTCTTCTTGCAAGTGAATCTACTTCATAAAATTGAGAACCTGGAGCCTCTGCAGAAACTGGATGCTCTTAACCTGAGCAACAATTACATCAAGACCATCGAGAACCTCTGTGAGCATTAGCCAGCGGCCTTCTTGGTCACGTGTCCTCCACTTTCCCCTGGGGAGCTCTGACTCTGGCATGGTGGGGAGGGTTTGGAGCCTCTTGTTCACTTGCACGGCCTCCCTTGCAGCCTGCCTCCCCGTGCTGAACACACTGCAGATGGCCCACAACCACCTGGAGACCCTGGAGGACATTCAGCACCTGAGGGACTGCGCAAAGCTTTGCGTCCTTGACCTTTCCCATAATAGACTGAGGGACCCGGAGATCCTGGTCATCCTGGAGAGCATGCCTGACCTGGTGAGAACCAGAGGAAGCACAATTAAGGCAACTTGTGTCCGTTTATGTTCTTTAAATAGTAAATCCTATGTCTCCCCCCACCCTTTTCCCCTCTCCCTTCCTCTGTCTCCCTCCCCCTCCCTCCCTCTGGCCCTCCCCCTTCCTCCCTCCCTCCCTCCTTCCTTCCTTCATTCTTTGTTCTTCCACACTTCTTCCTCTTTGTGTTTTTAGCTGGAATATCTAATGCCAGATGACGATTACTATTTCACCATGACATTTTAGTGTGTATCTCTGACAGGGACTTGTAGAAAGCACAATCATAACACTACTACTGTAAAGTATCATAACCGCTAACTGAGTACCCAGTCCGTGTTCAGTATTCCCCATTTGTCTCAGAAACATGCTCTGATGGCTGGGTCCAAGCCAGACTCAGACGCGATCTCGGGTTCTTGGTTGGTCTCTTCGGCTCTGTGACAGTTCTCCTCCTGTTTCCACCCTCCCATCCATTGGCCAGAGCAATGGAGCTCTTTGCCTGGCAGTCTCCCTGTTCTGGGGTGGCTGGCTGCACCTCCTGGTGTCATTGAACCCGCTCTGCTGTCCCCGGTAGTCCCTGTGGAACGAAGATGCAGTCACAGACTCGATGAGTCCAGGCTCCATATCTTCCTTTCAGTGAGCCCTGTCCTTGCACTGCCTGGCTCCGGGCACCCGGGCCTTCTTGCCTCTCTTCTCCTAAGTTCAGGATCGAGCACTGGGAGGCTGTCAGCCACTCCGGCCACTGTGATGCTCAACATCAGTCTCTCTCTCTGCTGTTCTGGCAGCCATTGATGAGCATTGCCTGGGGGAGCCGTGTCACTGGGAGTCACACAGTGGCCATTTCTAATTCTCTTATTCCTTCTGGGTCGCTCAGGCGGGATGCGTCTACAGAGTCCTTTCACACCCCAGTAGTGGGCCATTCATACAGAATCGGTCAGGATGAATGTTTGCATCTTTCCTGTTCGTGATAATTTTCGGCAATATCAGCCGAGACCCTAGCAGTCTCTCACGGTGACACCGAAAGCTTCTCCTTCTTCAGCTCGTGGATTTGTATGTGTAGCATTGGATATGACTTAACCCTTCCTTTCCTTTCAGTGTTGGTGTCCGAGTTTCCCAGCCTTAGAACCTCTCCAGTGGGTTCCTGTGTCCTTTCAACTTGGCTCTAGCCACCTTGGAAGGCTCTCTTAGTGTCAAGGGCACCTGTGTTAAACATGAACGCTCGCAGGAAAAACCCTGGAGTCCGCTCTTGACTGCTTAGGGCAAGGAGAAGTAGTGGAGAGGGAGTCACTGAAAAGGAAACTGTAAGCAAATCCTACCTAGTTCAGGGGCCATCCGCAGAGTGGACGGTCAGGAAAGACTAGTTTTAAACGGCCTGCGAATGGTGAGAATATAAAGCTATATTATTTTTCCCCTCAGTCTGTGTCAGAGTTTGGATCTTGAATGTCCCCAAAGGACCGAGTGTTGAAGAGATGGCACTATCGGGAGACTTGGCACCTTTAGGAGTGGGGCCTAGTGAGAGAAGTTAGGTCATGGGGGGGCATGTCTTTGAAGGAGACATGGGACCTGCCCTCCCCTCTTTGCATTCTGGCGCTGGCCATTCATTCCCTGCTGTGAGCAGCTCCACCACCCTGTGCTCCCTCCCTAAGGCACCATGCTGCCACAGGCCCAAAGTACAGGGCCACACAACTCAGCCTGAACCCTCTGAAACTGAGCCCAAGTGGACGTTCCTCCTCCAAGTCGTTTATCTCAGGTATTTTGTCCCAGAGGCACAAAGCTGACTGACAGAGGCTGCCATGATAAAGTACAGACTGGGGGGCTCACACAACAAAGTTATTTTCTCACAATCCTAAAGCCTGAAAATCCAAGACGAAGCGTTGCCTTCATTCTGAGGCCTGTCCTGGGCTTGCAGATGGAGGCCTCTGCCCTGTGTCCCTCTGCTGTATGCTGTCTGCGTCTGGGTCTCTCCTCCCAAGGATGCCAGTTGGGTTGGGTTAGGGCCCATCCTAACAGCCTCCTTCTAACTTACTGCATCTTTAAAAATCCTGTCTCCAAATGCTGTCACATTCTGAGGCACAGGGGTTAGGACTCTACCGGGTACCTTTGAGGGGAGGACACAATTCACCCATTACAGAAGCAGTCACCTTATAGTTGTCTGTACTTGCTTTAAGTCCCACCCTACTATGCTCCTGTTATTGCCTGTCCCTGGCTACTGCTCCTGTCACTGTGCCCTTGGAGGGTAAGTCCTTGACAATATAGCAAGGTAGTGAAGAGGCTCGGGAATGGAGTTTGGGAAAAGCTGAACTAACTGGTTTATAACATATTTATCTTCAGTGACACAAACCTCTAGATATGAAAGATGTGAATGAGTTTAGGCAAACAGATGTCGCGATGGTTCACCGCGGGTCACCTTCACATTCACCTTCCTGAGCGGCTCGGGCAGGAGGGAGGCGAGAGCGTTAGAAGACAGGGCAGGACGCCCACTGGCCTGGCTGGACCTTCCTCTTTCCTCTGCAAGTCTGCAGGAGAGGGTCTTGTGGTGGCAGTCTGCAGTGGGCCAGGGCAGCGTCCACCCTTCCCATCACTGCCTCTTGTCTGGCTGCTGTGACCTGCAGGTCCTGGCCAGGAAGGGAGAGAATCAATCAGTCCGAAATGCGCTTCGGTCAGAAATTGGGTAGCAAAACTGGTGTCATCGCCACACTTGGAAAGGGCCGCAGGAAGTGTTTTCCCTGGAAGGACGGCAAGGTCTGAGCTCTGGAGTTAGAAGTATGGGCTGGTTGGCCAGTGCAGTGGCCACACCTGTAATCCCAGAGCTTGGGAGGCTGAGACAGGAGGATGGCAAGTTCAAAGCCAGCCTCAGCAAAAAAGCAAGGTGCTAAGCAACTCAGTGAGACCCTGTCCCTAAATAAAATATAAAATAGGCCTGGGGTGTGGTTCAGTGGTCGAGCGCCCCTTAGTTCAATCCCAGGTACCTGCTGCTTAGTTAACCTGAACATATCTGATGACAAAAAGCAATAAAACCTTCCAGTGTCACCAATCAGTGCCCCAGGGTGTGGGCTGACACTTCTCTTTTGCTCAACAAAATAGATTGAACTGAGTTATTCTTAATGCACAGCCCATATAAAGTAATCAGATCTTTGTAAACCATCCAGTTTGATTTGGCTTGTTTGCTTTGCAGCGTGTGCTGAATTTGATGGGAAACCCAGTTATCAGGCATATTCCTAATTATCGAAAGACAGTCACTGTTCGCCTGAAGCACCTGACCTACCTGGATGACAGACCAGTTTTTCCAAAGGACAGGTAAGAAGAGAGAAGCCTTTGGGAGCCTTGAAATGTTTCATTGTTGATTGTACCAAGTATTAGACTTTTAAAATCTCTCGCATCATGTTTCCATGCATTTTCACACATCACTGAGTACTCTTCAGACAGGGCGAAAGGCGATATAACTGTCCGTAAGGGGAATCTGAGCACTTATTCGTAGGTTCTTATGTTCCTTTGATAAATATCCCTGCAGACCAGTTGTCTACCTCATTGCTTGGACTTCTTGGTTATCGTTTGGATGGAATTTTAGTAATATCACTAAAATTAAAAAAAAAAATGTTTAAGAATGTTTTTGGCAATGCTGGGATGGAATCCAGCTGGGCGAGCCCCACTTGAGAGACAGCACCCGATCCCTGAATTAAAACATGGGGTGCGACACTTGAAAAGCTCTTGCAAAATAGTTTGTTTTCCAGGAAGTTGGTTCCAGTTACAACCTCCCACACAAGGGTGCCCTCTTGTGTCGCACACTCTGGGCTTACATGAATGTGCCAGGTCATGCGTCCCCGTCATTGTGGCAGGCCTAAACCCCCCGTACCCGCTCCTCCTGCTGCCTCTCCACTCCCACACTGTCCCCAGTTTTGCCTCCTCTGGATGCCATGGAGGTGGAGTTGCTCAGCAGGTAGCCTTGGGGACTGACGGGGCAGGGGTGTAGCACTGGGCACTGAACCCAGGGATGCTCTACTGCTGAGCTACATCCCAGCCTTTTTTACTTTTTATTTTGAGAAAGGATCTCAAAAAGTTGCTGAGACTCAAATCTTGTGATCCCCCTGCCTCAGCTTCCCAAGTGTTTGGGATCCCAGGTGCATGCCACTCCACCCAGCTCACTAGCAATGGATGTAAGCTGCTTGCATGACTTTTTGTGTTTTTTTTTTTTTATACTGGGGACTGAACTCAGGGGCACTTGACCACTGAGCCACATCCCCAGCCCTTCTTTGTATTTTATTTAGAGACAGGGTCTCTCTGAGTTGCTTAGTGCCTCCCTTTTTGCTGAGGCTGACTTTGAACTGAGGATCCTCCTGCCTCAGTCTTCTGAGCTGCTGGGATTTCAGGCATGCAATGTGTCTTGATAACTTATTTCTTTTTATCTTTGAGTAACGTTTCATTGTCTAGATGTACCAGAACTTGTACATTCACATATTAAAGGATATCTTGGCTGCTTCAATTTTTTGCAACTAGAATAAAACTGCCGTAAACATTCGTATGCAAGCTTTCGTATGGATATGACCTTCGACTCGGTTGTCTTCTGTGCCCTTGGTTTTCATTTTGAAGAAGATGAGCAGGTTGGGTCAGACAGTATGTGTTTGGAATTGACCTTCAGCCTCCCTTTTCACACTGTCCCACTGTTGTCCTGGCTCAGGGCCTGCGCGGAGGCCTGGGCCCGGGGAGGGTACGCGGCCGAGAAGGAGGAGAGGCAGCTGTGGGAGAGCAGGGAGCGGAAGAAGATGGAGGACAGCCTGGAGGCTTTGGCCATGATCAAGCGGCGGGCTGAGGAGAGGAGAAGAGAGAAAGAAGGTCAGGAGAGAGCTGGGGGTTCCAGGGAGGATGCTGTTGGACGGGGCACACGGGGGCGTCCCACTGAGACCTCAGTCTCGGGGACTTTGCAGCCATCATTCGCGTGCAGTGAGAAGGCAACAGTCGCTTTTGTTGATTAAATCACAACTTCTTAAATAATCTCTGTTTTTCAAAATAAATGATTAGTCTTCTTTGGCTACTGTGGAGTGGGAGAAAATGGCACTCCTCCGCCTGTGGGAGAGGGGACGGGGGACTGGACATGCCTTGGGGAACACCTGCAAGTCTGGCTAGAAAGGAGCAGGCCTCCCCAGACCCACCAGCCCCTGACACCAGGCCTCCGTCCACTCATCCAGTCCCCTCACTGAACTGGAGCTAGGACAGGCTCTGGGGCACTGTCCTACACGACTGACTTCAGGTGACAATGCCACTGCAGGTGACAGTCACGGGTCCCAGGTTTGTCACCTGCACTTCCGACCAACCAGCTATGACTCGGGTTCCCCAGCCCTCCATCTTTGGCTCAGTGACTTGCTGGGGTGCTCCCAGATCCAGAAACCCTTCGCACCTTCCAGGGCTTTGCACTCGCGAGGCTGATGACAGGGCATAGGTGAGCCAGGGGGTGGAGATGCACAGGGCAGCGTGTGTGTGAAGGGACAGGAGCCTCCACAGTGGACCACCCTCCTGACACCATGTCCCAGAGACCCAGGAGCTGTCTGAACCAGCTCAGGGACTACCAGAGGCCTCGCCACTCGGGCACGATCTAACCGCACTTCCAGGCTGTCTCCCCTCTAGAGCAGGGGTGGGTGGGGCTGAACTTTCCAAGCTTGTCGGGGTAGTTTGGTCTTTCTGGTGACCAGCCCCCATCTGGGAAGCCACCAAGAGTTACTTTGTCTGACAAAAGACCTCTTATCGAAGTCACAAGGTCTTGGAAGCTCTGGGTCAGGATCTTGGGTCAAAGACCACACATCAGAACCAAAGTTTCTCCTAGCATCCTACGGACAAGGGCCGAATGTGTGCCTTTCTGATGAGTTCAAAGGTGCCACCACACAGCAGCAGAAAATCATATGGCCAGCACAAATTGTCCTTATTAGGGTCCAAGTCAGAAGTCTGAGGGGGCTGAAATCAGGGGCCTCGGGACGACGGTCCCTCTGGAGGCTCCAGTTGTAGCATCAGAGCCGAGCATCTCTGGGGCCACTGTTCTGTCCTCCACAAACCCATAGCACAAAACGAATGTTAATTCCACCTGCATTCGCCTCGGAGCAAGCAGCGCGCCTTGCAAAGGCACAGGCTTGGCCCCCGGGGGCACGCAGGCTCTCAGGGCACTAGATAGAAGCAGAGTCAGATGATCTTGATTTTTTTTAATTGTTGAAGTGGCCTTTAGGGTAGATGCCACACCTCAAGGGGCCATTGTGGTTGTTTTGTTGTTGTACGTGGACACAATCTCTTTTATTTATTTACTGACTTTTATGTGGTGCTGAGGATCAAACCCAGGGCCTGACACGTGCTAGGCGAGCGCTCTGCCACGGAGCCCCAACCCCAGCCCCCCCCCCCCTGGTAATTCTTAAGAGCCCCCCCTCCTCCCCCCCTGCTCCTGCTCCAGAGCCCCCAGACCCCTTTGTCCTCCAGGCACTTCTAAGTCTACCTCTTCCTTCCCCGTTTAGGGGAGAAGCCACCTCCAGACAGTGGGGACAGAAAGGAGGAGGCTCCACTGGACGGAGAAACACAACAGAAAATGGAGTTCTTTGTGAAAGAAAGCTTCGAGGCCAAGGATGAGCTGTTCCCGGAGAAGCCGGAGAAGCCGCGTGGAGGAGAGGGGTGGCCTGCAGAGGGGACGGAAGCCGAGGAGCCAGTGGGGAGCCTTCCCGCGCAGGCCCCGGCACCCCCAGGAGCAGCCAGGGGAGGTAAGGCGCTGCGGCCTCTGCCCTGCTGGGCGTGGCCGTCCCCTGCATGCTGCTTCTAGAAGGCCGGGTTGCAGTGGCCTCTTCTCTAGAGGAGCAGCACTGGGTGGAAATGCAGCGGCCATCACGAGAGGAGGCACATGACAAACGCAAAAGGCAACAGGTGACACTGTTCACCACAGGGGACACTATTCCCAATGCTTCATTCAACCCAGCATGTCTGGAAATGCACATAAGGCTCTCCATGAGGTGTTGTACACAGCTTTGTGGACAAGGTCATCAAATCCAGTGTGTGGGTGACTCTGCACGCCTCGACGGGGGGTGCTGAGGTTTCAGTGGCCGAAGGGAAACGGGTCCTACCAGAACAACACAGCATTTTATCCTACTTCCCCTTTAAATTTTCAATTAAAGTTAATTAAAAGTAAAGCAGTAAAATAAAATCAAAAACCCACCCTGGCCACATAGCCATATGTGCTGTGGCCAGGGACAGTCCCACCCAGACTTCCCCTTGGCCCCTCTGGATGAGCCATCCTGGCACGCTCCCGGTCTGTAGGGTGGGGAGATGGGCAGTGGCCTGAGCAGGATGTGAGGCCTCTTTAAAAATGTTTTTCAGTTTGTCAATAGATCTTTTATTTATTTGTTTGTTTATTTATATGTGATGTTGAGGATCGAATCCAGGGCCTCACACAGGCTAGGCGAGCGCTCTGCCACGGAGCCCCACCGCCCCCCGGAGCCCCCCAGCACACGGCCCCCCGTCTCCCTACTGTGTACCCGCCCAGCTGCCTTTCCAGTCTCTGTTCCTTCTACATCACGTCCCAGCTGGTGCTTCCCCCAAGGGACAGCAGCATGCTGTCCTCTCTCAGCTAGGGGACATAACCCTGGCCGTGGCTGTGGATTCTGTGGCTTTGGCCACAGGTGCTGGCCCCTTGCACCCAAGGAGGGTTTCTGTCCTTCTGCGTCACCTGGGGTTGGCCGTCTGAGCACGGGTGTGAACCAAGCAGGGCTGACGGCTGCCCCTCGTTGCCCAGATTCAGCCTCCCAGGTGGCAGAGACTGCAGGTGTGCTGCTGACGGAAGCTTCAGCCACCACGGAGCCAGGGGCCCAGGAGAAGTTCTTCATGGATGTACGTGGAGCGCTTCGCCGTGGGCAGTGGGGGCGCACAGTCGGTAAAGCGGGGTGAAGCCCAGCTCGCGGGCCTTGTGACTTAGCGTGGTCCTTGGTAGCAGGTGTAGCACCTCCAGAAACTCAGAAGGGGCCCCCCCAGAACTGCCGCCCAACAAGGCCTTTAGTATGACTGCCACCAGGAGACGCACACCCAGGCACTCAGGCTGGGGCCACGCTGGCCCCACGGCCCCTTGAATTGTAGCTGTCAAACTCCACCAAAGGGGTCCCACTGCAGAGCAGTGCTGTCCAGCCAGCCTTGGAATTCCACTCTGACCGTTGGGGCTCTCAGTCCTCCTGTCCGTGCCCAGGGAGCCCCTCCTGCTCTCACTGGCTCTTCTCTGCACCTGTTACCTGCTGGCTCGTCACCGTCCTCTTGGGCTGGTGTGGTGCATGCTGGATGGCTGCCTGGCATGTCCCACCGGAATCTCCTCCCGTGTGGGTGACGTGAAAGGGGACCACGGGGGCGCACACTGCCACATGACCAAGAACTAAGGGGGAAGAGCTGGGGTGGTGTCAGTCCAGCTGTGGACATCAGTGCCACAACTTGCCCGAGACCCCGCCTTTGCCCCCCTGCCCACTCCCTTGTTAAACTCCCAACGGGTGCTCCTTTTCTTGTGCCCAAATTTTAAAATTTCACGACTCTAATTATTAAACTAATCATAGTCAATATTCTCAGTGAGCTTCTAAGTTTTCCAGACCTACATATATATATAATAAGAAAAATATTAGCCAATTTCTAATATTTGAGAGCTGACAGTATACAGAACTTCAACATCAATAGCCGGTATTTATTGAGCTCTTACTCTATGCATGGCATGGGTCAAATCATGATTTGTATTAATCGATTTAATATTTCCAATATCATCATCCCAAATTTACAGATGAGGAAATTGAAAAACGAGAGGTTAAGCCACTTTCCCAAAGCCACACAGCTAGGAAATGTGGCGTGGGAACACTAACCCAGGCAGTGTGTTCCCACGTGGGTTCCTGCGTGGTCCCACCCACTCTGCCCCCTCCCCCGCACACTGGCGGGTGCACTCTCACCAGTTTAAGGGAGGGACTTGCGTGCCACTTTGGTGATGAGACCTGGGCACCTGGCCTTGGCTTTGAGAGCGGCTGGGCAACCTCCCATTCCTTAGCTTGCTCAGAAGCAAGGCTTCACTTGCACTCTGTCTGCATTTGTCTTGCCTTTGGGAATGCTGGGACGTGGGCCTCCCTGGTGATGTGTGGCTCTTGGCTCTTTCAGGACCTGCCGGACCTGGAAGACGTGGAGGACACAGGCGCAACTCTGGAAGTCCAGGACACGGTTGTCAGTACACACTTCCCCACAGTCAGAAAGTCCCGTGTTTGTGCCTGCCATTGTCACAGCACATGTCTGTCCCCTGAAAGCCAGGTGTGCTCGTGCTGAAGCACTGGGCACCCAGGTCGCCTCCTTGCTGAAGGAAGCGCAGTTAGTGGTTCCTGCTCGGTTTCCTTTGAGGTTTAATCACGAGCCATCACCAGCCACGGGGCTTTTCTGCACGTGTTTTATTGCTCATGGTGGTAACCACACTGATGTAATTACCCGGAGCATTTATCTGTCCGTGGTGCATTTCCACCTCCTGAACCTCCCTGATGGGGACAGCTGCGGATGGAGGGAAGGAAAAGGGAAGGCAGATCAGGGGAGGAGCACTGGATGAGGTGCCCTGTGGATTTATCCCCAACTGACCCTGCCCTCCTCCCTCGGGCATTACTCAGAGCTCAAGGGTGCCAGACCTGGGCTACAAGGGAGGGAGGCATCAGAGGTCATCAAAGGTAACGGGCACGTGAGACTGTGGTTACCACAGGGTACTGATGTCTAGGAGTGAAGTCCCAGAGACTGGTGGACAAGGTTGGGCTCAGGAAGACACCAGGCAGGGCCAGCATGAGGCTGTCATTTAGGGGCCGTCTGGTGGGGGTGCAGTGTGGATACCAGGCAGAGGGCTGGACAGGAACGGACACTGGCTATGGTACTCAGCAGGAGCTGCTGACCCCGGAGGGTCCACTTGAGGCTCCAGTGTTCTTGTGGGTCTTCCTGCGCCATGGTGACCACTGCTGCCACTTGACTGTGGAGTGACTAGTGCAGAAGCAAGTAAATGTTCAGACACCCTTCTCTCAACAGGAAAGGTGCTCTCCAAAGATTGAGGCCATCTCGAGCTTAAGTGACAACGGTGACCCTGACCTGGACAATGTGTCTCCAGAGCTGGAGAGCAGGCCCACAGACACCCAGTCACACATATTCGCAGTCTCTAGAGACACCTCGAAGAAGGCCGAGACCCCTTTTACAAACATACTTAAGAAAGAAACTATAAAGGCCTTGGGAACCCCAAGTCAAGTCCCCGAGTCCCCAAGGGTGCTTATTCAGGAGATTAGTGGCCATGAGACCTCGAGCCAACTCCTCGTGCCCTCCTGCTGGAGAGATGCTGCTCCTGCTCCTTCCAGCGAGAGTGGAGACAGACACCTCCCCGCAGCCCCTCCACCAGGTAAGGCCACTGCGTTGCAGGTCCACAGCGCTGCGGGGCATGCGCTGAGCCGTGAAGGCTGGGTGGGCCCAGGGAGCTCGCCCGGGGAATCCCAGGTTCCTGGAAAGGGCCACGGGGACACACCAGGAAACCTCTGCAGATCACATGTCCAAGTCTGTGACTGAAGCTCTGCTGGTGGGCATCACCTGGATAAGCCCCCAATGTACCATTCTTGGGCGGTGACCTGTGTATCACTTTATCACCAGGCATGCAGTGCCTAGTGGGGGTTTCGCAGGGTTGGGGGGCCAAGGAGCCTGCACCTCCATACCCTCTCATCAACCCACCCTTCCTGGTCATTCCAGACCATGGCTTCTGGAGGGGCTGTGGAGGCTGGGCAGCGCTAGGCTGGCATGAAGGTGTGCCTGCTCCACACTGCACACAGGTGACAGGTCCCATGCCTGCTGCCCTGCTCAGGAGATGGAGGTGGGAGGGGACAATGCCGGGCAGCCTGGCCTGCAGGCAGGAGGGAGAGGCAGGCTCCATTCCAATCCCCACCGGCCTCTCTCTTCAGCAGACTGGACTGGAAAGAATGAAGAGCGGAACGAGGAGTCCGGTGGGGGGACAGGCCGGGAGGACATTGAATTTGGCTTGGACTGAATCCAAGATGGGCCCTGTACCATCAGACTCATGGGGTCAGGGAGCAGGCGTGGTCACCCCCTCTACTCAAGTACTGCTGCTGCAGCCTGCCGAGATGGGGGCTCCTGTCCTTTGCACCACGCGTCCCAAGTGTGCCATGTGTCAACTCCCTGTAGTATACACTGTGTAATTATAAACGTCTATGAGCATAATAAAATGTTTTAGCAGCCATATTCCTGCAAGTTACAGGCAATTCCCTCTGGTCCATCAGATACTGAGAAAGACCCTCCAAGTGTGATCCGCAGCAGGGCCACAGCCCGGTGCCTGCCCTCTCCAATGGGCACTTCCCACAGCACAGGGAGCCACCCACAGGAGCACCACCAGCACAAGTGTTCAGCCAAAAGCACCTCCCTGGGAAGCTGCTCACAAACCCACCCCGCAGCAGGCTCTCAGCTCCTGGGGCCTCGCCCTACCCCCACCCAACAAGGGGAGCATGGCTGCTGCCATTTCCATGGGGGGGGGAACAAGGGGGGTGGGAGAGCCCAGCCCCCAACAGAGCCTGCCCCTGCCCCCCTGTGCTCCCTCTCCCTCTAATCTGTAGGCCATTCTGTTGCCTACTCCTCTGACGTGGGCCCACTTCACTGCTGGGCCTCCCACGGCTGGCCACAAGGGCCTTCAGGAGTTGGAAAGCTCTGCCGTCCCTGGGGAGCGCCATCTCCTGCCGTCCCTGGGAAGGCCCTGCTGACCTGGGCACAAGGAGGAGCCTCACCAGTGCCTCAGAAGCCCATGCGTGCCTTCTTCCTGGGGGGCCGAGAGCCGGAGAGGACAGGGGCGTGCTGCTGGGAGGGGGTGGCCTGGGCACTGGAGGCCTGGGCACTGGGGGCCTGGGTGGGGAGTATTGGGCTATGTCCCAGAGTGTCATTTTGAAGTGGCAGTTTGGCCATGTAGTCCCGGAGGGTTTGCCGCCGCTCCAAGGGGATGCCCTGGGTCCACGGCTCCTGACTCAACTCCTGGGAGTGCAGTGTCCCTGTAGAGTGAGGCCTAGTCTCTGAGGACATCTGGTTTGGGCTGTGAGGAGGGCTGCTGGCCTCTGGGAGATCTAAACCGCTGGTGAGCGAGGAGAAGGTGCTGGACAGCTGAGACCGGCGTTTGGGCCGCTTGGCCCGGCCCTCAGGCTCCAAGGTCCTGAACTGCCGCCTCTCCCACCAGGCAGCCCCTTGGCCTTCCCAGGCTGCCCCCAAGCGCTCGGTAAGCTCATCCTGTGGGCCTGATTGAGGCGCGGGGGGCGGCTCTGCCCTGGGCAGCGAGCCCAGGTCCCTCTGCTGCAGGAGCCGCCCTTCAGCCATGGCCGCCCGGAGTCCCTGTGGCACTCTCCCTGCATCCTTCTGCAGCTCCATGCGGCCCAGCAGCCGGCGGTGGGAGAAGGTGGGTGCAGCCCACACAGCTGGGGCAGGGGGCACCTCCAGCAGGGCCTCTAGCCAGTGGCTACAGCGGGCGATGGCCTGGGGGCTCCAGGAAGGTGCGAGAGGCTTGGGAGGTGGGTCCTGGGGTGATGCCGTGGCCCTGGGTGCAGGGCAGGTGGGCCCAGGGTCTGGGTCGCTGGGAGGCTCGGGGGGCTCCGTGTCTCTGTGGAGGCGGAAAGGCTGGGAGAAGACGTCCCCAGCCTTGGAGAGCTGGAAGACGGACAGGACTGGTGCAGAGGCACAGTGCGCGACAGTGGCGGCCAGACCTGGAAAAGGAAGACCCCGTGACCTGCCAGCCCTGGCAGGACTCTGCACTGTCCCCAAGCTGCTGCCCCCCCCCACCAGCACACCTATGGTTGGCGCTTCCAGACGCTCCTGCAACTGCCCCTGGCTCTTGGGTTCCAGGAGAGGAAATGCAGAGAGGGAATCGGTCCTGGAGGGAAGAGACTGGGGGGGCCCTGCCAGCCGGGGTGTGGAGGACCCCGCTCCTGGAGGAAGGGCAGACAGCTGAGGCCACAGCAGGCCCCAGCCCCATGCATCTTCCTGCACCCCTCCCACCCGTGCAGACCTCACCTGTGAGGTGCAGCAGCTGAAACTGCCCCCCCTGGCCTCCCAGGAGCAAGGGCTGTGGCAAGCCAGGGCCGGGGGGAGGCAGCAGGCGGATGAGCAGGGGCGGAGAAGGGAGGCCGTGGTCCCACTTCAGCACGGGCACGAGGGGGAGGCGCTCGTCCATCAGGTAGAGCGAGAACTGGGGAGGATGGGGGTGGGGGTGGAGATGGTGTCTGGGGGCCCTTTCTAGGCACACGTGGCCCTCAGGATGGGTACAAACCCCCAGGGGCAGCAGCACTCGGACCAGCCTTCAAGGGCTCCTAAGTTCGCCTGCCCAGCCCTGAAGTCCTGAAGAAGCAGTGCCACTGCCAGTCTGAATGGGCAGATGGATGACACAGTGGGCACGTCTCCTCAGAAGCCCATCTGGCCTTTCTGACCCTGGAATCTGTGCCAGAGACACAGCTAACGCCCGGAGTCCTTGGCGGGGGACAGGCAGGCAGAGGGCAGAGCTTCAGATGACCTCAGACCTCCTCCTCGGCCCGGCAGAGCAGGGGCTGTGTCCTTGCACAGATGCTCTGTCCCACCCTGGAGCCCATCAGACCCCTGAGGCCGTCCCCACCTGCTGCTCCCATGGGCTGCCTAGGCCAGATGCAGCTCCCAGGGTCTCTAGCAAACACAGAGGCCCCGTGAGGCTGGGGGCTGCTCACCTGGGTACAGACGAGATGGAGGGTGGGAGGGAGGCAGTCAGAGCTGGCCTGCCCCAGATAGTGGGTGACCAGGACACGTTCTCCTTTCTGACAGGAGGCCTCTGCCCCCCCACGGAAAAGCAGCAGTCCGCAGCCTGGCGGGCCCTGGGGAGGGCACAGGGTCAGCCTCCTCCGGGTCCAGGGAGGGACACCAGGCTCACCAGGCTGCTTCTCATGCCACGGGGGGTGGAAGACTCTCCGTACCCCTCCCCCATACCTGAGTGTCAACTATCTTCACCCCAGTGCGGTCACCCACTGTCAGCACCCGAGGGTGGGCGGTGAAGTCTGCCCAGCGCCAGGGAGAAGGGTCCCGGAACACAAGGGTCTCAGGGTCTTTGTAGACTTGCTGCAGCCTTGAAGAGATGGGCAAGCTGTTGGGGGGGGGGGGGGTCTGGGGGTACCAAGGAGCTGAAGAAAAAAACAGGGATGACCTGGCCTTGGATCAGGGTGGTGGGCCCTGGGTCTGTTGGGTGCAGTGTTTTTTTGGAAAGGGGAATTACCCATCCTGAGGGGTCCACATACAGACGGCTCCAGAACGGCTGCAGACGGCCAGCTCCCCGGGCAGGTGTGGGCTAAGGGCACAGTGAGATTTAACCTCAGGAAACCCGGCCTCTCCCAGGCTCACCTTGCTAACAGCTGACTCATCCTCACCTGAGACTGATCCCCGTGGCCCCCTTCTCCACCTGCAGCGTCTGCAGCGGGGTTGGCGGCTCCTGCCTGCTGACCTTCCACATGGCACAGTGGTAATCAGAGCGGACGGCCAGCAGAGCTGAGGAGGGGTTGGAGAGGTCAGGCTCAGGGTCAAGCAGTGGTTCGGCCAGGGAGGGAGGTGCCTGAAGGCCTTACTTTCTCCCTGGACGGTGCAGGTCACCACCTGCCGGACAGGTCCGCGCAGCTGGATGTACCCAGGGTCCCCAAAGACCCGAGGATTGCCTCCTGAGGTCAGACTGACCTCCTGGAAACCTGAGCCTCGGCTAAGGATCAGTGAGCGGGCACCACAAGCCCCCCAGTTCCTACCCCTCACCGTGGACCATGCCAGGAGCACCTCCTTCACCATTGGGGTGGGTGGCTGACTCTCCCACCCAGCAGAAAGGATACACAGCTTGTCCAGGGCACCTCCCGCAGGGTAGACCAGCTGGCCCACCCGGGCTGTCCTTCCGGGCACCCAGGCCAAGGCACCCCCAGTGAAGGCATCGTCTAAGAGCAGCTGCTCCCAGCGCAGGGCCAGCTCCTCATGCAGCAGCTTGCCCAGGAGGCTGGACACTGACTTGTTAAGCACTGGGCCCCCGAGGATGGAGAAGCGACGCTGCCTGTGGCTGATCCATGCCCAGGGACACCTAGGGATGGCAGAGGATCACGATGGGGCAGAGGAGGAGGAGGAATGGGCACTCGAGGTAGGTCAGGTGCAGAGTACACAGTTCTACCTAGAATGTCTTTTTTTTTTTTGGAAACCACCCACCCTGTTCCCCCAACTGGGAGCACTTCATTGCTGTACAGTGACTGGCTCACAGGTGGGCGTGAGACCCTGGCCAAGTCACCAAAGTCCTTCTGGTGCCTCGGGAAGGACACTGACTCTTTGGACTCATGAGCCATCATGGTGCCACTTGAAAACAGTCTTTCTAGGAATTAAGTCAGGCAGAGGGCAGCAGGTAAGACGATACAGAGACCAGCCCATCAACCCTGAACACCTGGGCACAGGCATGCCTGAGGCCCATGGACCTGAACCCCCTTTCCGTCAGGCTAGCTGGAGCCGGAGTGCATGGGCAGGGGAAGAACTGTGAGGGAAACTGCGCCTTCCACAGGCCCGTCACCAGCTAGGCTACCCAGCAAGCTTTCTCACTAGCCACTTGCCCCCAGGGCTGGTGTCCACCAAGGTCCTGGAGCAGCCTCTTCACAGTGACCACTGTCATCTTCTTGGAGCGGCTCTGCACGGAAAGGCCTTGTCAAGCTCACACACCTGGGGATCCAGAGTGAGGGGGGGTAGGGTGCCCTTCCCAGGCTGGCGGGGTTACTCACACGAGTACCCTCCAGTTTGAAATTCTCCAGCATCAGCTTCCCCAGGGGTGCAAAGGCTATGTCCCCATGATCCCACAGGAACCGGCTGAGCTGGGGAAGGAAGCACCAGGTCACGACGCACAGCCCCCTGCCATGAAGCACCACCTGCTGGGGGACACTCACCTGTTCAGTCACATCCAGTACGACCTGAGGCTGCCTCCGGTAGTGGCGACCTCCTCGGAAAAGGAGGTCCTGGGCAGTCACACCAGGGTCCCAGGAGTCTGAGGAAGAATAGAGGTAGGGCGCCAAGGTGGGCCAGGTGATGGAGGTCACCAAAGGTCCCAGGGATGCAGACCAGTTGAGGGCCGTGGAGGGTCTAGGCACGAAGAGGTGGGGCTGAGCAGCGACAAGAAGGGCAGCTGAGGAGGACCAGAAGAAGGGCCTTACCAGGACCAGGAGGCATCAGGGGCAGGGGCCCAGGTGCCAACGGCTCCCACAGCAGGTCCTTGGCCAGGCGAGGGATGGCATTCTGGAGGGAACACACCACAGTGGCACATAAGTGTACACCCTGGGCCAGCACCGTGCAGGCTCCTGTCTCACAACCCATCCAGTCTCCACCACAGCCCCACAAAGGTGGCACAAGTGTCGTCATTCTCCTGATGTGGAAACTGAGGCATAGAGTGACTGTCATTTGCCCTCGGTGACAGAGCTGGTATACAGAAGAGCTGGGATTGAAACCTGGCAGACTGACTCCAGAGTTCCTTTCTGATCTCCTCCGGCACTGGCTCTCAAGGAAGTCCCCTGCAGCATCGCCGGCTGACCCCACCCCACTGCTTCTCGCTTCCAGGTCAGAGTGCTCACTCTGGGAGTAAGCAGCAGCAGCCCATCGTTCCTCTTTTTTTATTAGCAAAAACAGCAGCACTAGGCGCCCGCATGCCACACCTGCTGCGACTCGGCTGGCCTGCCAGACCCGCCTGTTCAAAGCCCCTCCTGGACTGTCCCACCTGCCTGCCTCTCTCTCTCACCTACTTGTCTCTGCCTGGCATGGCCTTCCCGAGGCACCTGCAGAAATGCGGGGAGATCTCCCCCTCCCACACTTTAGCATCCCTTTGGTTTTGCTCAGAGCTGTGCTCACACTTTGTGGTCATCCTATCCACTGCTCTTCTCACTTGGAGACACTCACTCAGCCGGACCCTCAGTTCCGTGAGGGCGGGATGGTCTGACTTAGTCACACTGTGCTCCTAAGGCTTAACGACAGCTACCCCACTCGAGCTGTGCCAATAGGTATGAATACTAATGTGAGGACCAAGTGAAGGGGCCCACCCACAGCTGTCAGCACCCTATTTCCATCCTCACCTTGGCATCGTGGGGCTGGGACTCTGGCAGCGTCAGAACATCTCTCCAGCTGCACATGAAGGACAGGTCAGGGGCATCATTCATACCAAGGGGACCAGCCATAAACAATGAGGGACACAGGGATCTGGGGAAATCCATCCTGCAAAAAACGAGCACCACGTCACACCCACCTTCTCCAGAAAAGGCTTCCAGGATTCCTGGGGAGAGCAAAAGTACCCTCAAGGAATGCACTTTCTTTGAGGAAGCAGACAAGGAAGGCCATAGGAAAACCACCTGCCTTCTACAAGGAAGCGGGTAGTGACAGGCAAGGAGTGACCTGGGTACAGTAACCTGAGGAGTGAGACAGTCAGGTGCACACCTGGGAAGAGGGCTGCAGGTATGAACACCAGCAAGCGTGAAAGCCCTGGAGCAGGAAAGTAAGAAACAGAAAATGCACCAGGAGGAGAGTGGAGAAGGATGAAGATAGGAGGGGTGAGGTCTGCTTCCGCCACAGCCCTTATGGACCGTAACCAGACATCTGTAGACGATACTCCCCAAACTAAGCTCCAGTACTCCCAAACCAGGACTGAGAATCACTCTTTTGTCTTCCCACTGTTAAGCACAGTGCATCTCAGAAAACGCAGTGTCTAACAGAGAAGTGTACATCAAGGGGATTTGATAATCACAGTCCTCTGTAAGTATCAGTGGCCCCATCATTCCCCTTTTTTTATTAGCAAAAATAGCAGCACTAAGTGCCAGCATGTTAGACACTGAGCTAAGTGTGTTATTCTCCTATTGCCCCTACTGTGGAATTCAGCAAACCAAGGATCAGGGACAAGCATCCCACAAGCAAACTCTAGCAACAGAATCTGAGTAAGCAAACATCTCTCCCTGTAGAACCCCTGATGCATTTTATCAGTTTATTCTGTAGCTTCTGGACATGCATGGACCTCAGCACTGTGCAGAGCTGTCACATTGTTGCAGTAACTGTCAAGGAAAGAATTCGCGATCCTCAGGTCCCACTGCAGCTTATCTGTGTGCTCATCTCCTTTGCGGGCTATGAGGGCTCTTCAGAGATGGGGCGGTATCTGACCCATTCCTGAGTCCCTGGCCTGGCTGCTATCATTTTCCTTTATCTATGGGGGTGGGGGTGGGACAGATGAGCCGGTGGAACGCACAAGGAAGTGATCAGTGAGTCCTTGTGCAGAACAGCCTAGGGGAGTGGCAGAATTATTCCCAATAAATGGGAAGACACACTAGAAAGGTCCCCGGTGAACTGTGGTGCCCGGGCTCCTTCCACACTGACCTCTCACCATGCTGCTTCTCACCATAGGGCCTCTGCACAAACTCTGGGCTTAAGAGAAGACCCCGGACCCTCCCTCTGCCCCTACAAAGTCCTTCAGCCTCCAAGGTAGGGAGGCCTCTGGCAGCTCCCCAGCTGCCGTCCTGCCACAGCGCGGGTGGCCACCCGAGACCAGGAGTCGGGCGCCGGTGGAAGGCCCCCTACAGCCCGCCCAGGGCAGCACTGGGCACGCGCGAGCACGTGCGTACCCAGGGCGAGCGCATCAGGGCGGAGCCCCAGAGCCCGAAACGGGGCGCGCACTTACGCGGCCGCCTGTCTGGGAAGGTGACCCGCGCGACTCCCGCCGGACTCTCGAGCGAGAAAGCGGAGCCCCGGCGCCGTAGCCCACAGAGGGACCGCTCCGCCGCAGCAGCCTACCGCTTTCCGCGTCGGCAGGAAGTGCTCCCTGAGACAGGAAGTCCCGCCCCCTGCGCGTCCTCGAGCGCCGCCTGCCGGGCAGAGGGTAGACGCGCGTGAAGGCAGCAGTGAGCCGTAGAATGAAGTACCTGTCCCCGCGCTGGCGGCCGAGTTGACTTGGATTCGAATCCCAGCTCGGCTTCACCAGCTTTCTATCGCATAGGTGGTTGTGAGGGTTAACGTGATTCAGCAAACCCTGAGCACGCACTCTGAGCCAGGCACTGCACTGTCAGTGGGCACCCTGCTGACTGTCCTTAAGCCCTAGAAGCTGGCTTTACCAATGGAGGGAGGAAGAGATGCTCCGGGAGTAGGCGACGCTGTGCCAGGGGCATCCCGGCAGGGGGCGCTTCAGACAGCGGGTCTCAAACGTGAGCGTCAGCACCTGGGAGGTTGCCAGGTGATGCTGACGCTGTTTGAGGGCCAGGCTTTGAGAATCGGTGTCCAATCACAGAGCCACTTGCAGCGCCAGTTTACACGGTGTCTTAAGTAGGTCTGGAATGTGGCACTGTAGTTTGCATTTCTAGAAAGTTCCCAGGTGAGGCTGATAGTGCTGGTCCAGGTACCACAGTTTGAGAACCACCGCTTTGAAGGATCAACTTGCAGATTCTCAGCTTCCATCTATACGGGTTCTATCAGGGAGTTCCTTGGAGTCAGATGGTCCTTTCCCATCTTCCCTTTCCCAGTCGCTGTATTCCCTTCATGGAGCATTGTTCGAGGATGAGCACTGCACAAGAGTTCTTCTCAACAGCAGACCTCCAACAGGGGGTATTAAGTAAACAAGTTCAGCAGCAAGTAAGGACAGAAGGGTGCAGGAGGCGGGCTTTGGGGCCTGACGACATTATTTCTTCATCTGAGCGTGGCTGGTTGTGTTCAGTCTGTGAAGATTCACTAATAATCTGTGTACTTTTCTATAGGTATGTTATAGTTCCATAAAAAGTCTTTTTGAAAGAGAAAAGGCCATGATGCCTTATCAAGATTTTGAACTTGGTCAGGCCATGACCTTCTTAGTTATCTAAGAAACAGATAATGCTTCATAAATATTGAATTGATAAGAGAATGAAATGAAAGGGTCGTTCAGGAAAAATAAAAAAAGAAATTTATTTAGATTGAACAAAATGAAGTCAGGCTGTTTCCAATAGGAAGTCTGATTTATCTGTCTTTTGACACTGAGATGGGCTTTCCAAATAAGTCACCTGGGCGTGAATATTTCATAAATGGGATGAGCTTATACATCTCTATGGTTTTGAGGAAATATAAAGGATGATTTTAACAGTAAATCATGAATTACAGCTTTTGTAACTATTTCGATTTGTGATTAAAAATTGGGGCTACACAGGTTTTCAGAATTATTTTAGGGAGTATGTATGCAAAATAACTGAAGACCAGTTAGATCAGTTTCCTACTACAGCTGTACCAAGTTGCCACAGCCCTAACAGCTTAAGACAGCATGGTATGTTACAGATCTGGAGGTCAGAGGTCCAACACACATCTCACGGGCTAAGTCAAGGTGTCCGCAGGTCCATGTGCCTACTGAAGCTCTAAGGGAAGGAGCCGTGGTCTTGCCTTCTCCAGCCTCCGGAAGCCACCTGCATTCCTTGACTCAGTCCCCTTTCATCCTCAAAGTCAGTGTGGCCTCTTGACTCTTTCTCATGACTCTTTAGCTCCCTGTTGCCCATTTAAGGACTCCATTGATCATGTCCAGATAATCCAAGATAATCCCCTATTTTAAAGTCAGCTAATTTGCCCCTTGCCAAAAAACATATATTAGCAGGTTCTTAGGATTAGGATGTGGACAATCTGTGTGTCCAATTGCATTCCCTCCTTTCTTCCTTTCTCTGGGTTTTAACCAGTTTCTCTTCACTAACATATTTACCATGCAGTGAAGTGCACTTACACGGCCACCTCGGGTGCCTGTCTGGGAAGGTGACCTGCGCGACTCCCGCTGGACTCCCGAGCGAGAAAGCTGTAGCCCACAGAGGGACCGCTCCGCCGCAGCAGCCCACCGCTTTCCGCGTTCCTTGAGTCTCTACACAGGTATAAACCCATGTGATCACCTCCTGGATCAAGAGAGCATGGTCACTTAAGAATATCCCCTGGAGCTGCTGACCACCAATCCCTCTTTCACAGAGTAACCACGATTGTGACTTTTATCACAATTTTGCCATTTCAAGAACTTTACAGAGTTGGAATCATAACAGTTTTGTGCATGCAGCAGTACTTTCTTTTTAAGTAACTGTAATTGCGGTTCACTTGATGCTGTGGCTATATCCTTGTGGCTTTGAAATGTACGTTTTTTTCTCTTTCCCAATGTTCTTTTCCCTAAACTTCTCTTCCCTGATCTTCTTTTCCCTGAACTTCTTTCTGAACTCTCCTCCTTATTCTCATTTTCTCTGAATCACCTCTATAAAACCCCGTTCCTGCTGTTGGGGAAAATCACAGGAGTCCCCTGTGTTTCTCCTTTGCTGGCAAAGCAATAAACCTTTTCCTTAAGACCTCGTCTTCATTATTGGGTTGGCCTTGAGGAGGAGGACCGAATTTTCAGTTATTAATCCTCCATTGAATGACTGTCACCATTCGTTCAGCCACCCTCCTTAGGTAGGCATTTGGGAGGTAACTGGGTTTGGCAATTCCGCTCAAGTCTTTGTAGATGCGCGCAGCCATTTCTGAACACCTACTGTACTGTCTGATCAGCCCCAAGCCTTATTCCACTCTCTGGGCGACTTGCCCCACACAATGGAATTGTTCTTGCTGATGCCCATCTTTGAAATGTGTGGGAGGAGAAGACTCCCCAGCCAGCCACACCCACTCTTCTGAAGTCAGAAGTTCCTGTTTCACCAACTCTTCTCTTATGTCTTCAGTGTCCACAGTGTCACATCCTGATGGGCGTTTTCAGAATCTGTAGTTCAAGCTACAGCAGCAGCCACCACAGATCTTCCACACACTGAGCTGGGGTCACGCTCTCCCAGTAACTGGCTGCTGTAGGAGTCAGAGTGATGGGGCAGCCCACCTCAGCAACTGTGTCTCACATCATAGCAGGCCTTACGTAAACTGTCCTCATCCTTGGCTTCATCTTTACTTTTCTTGTCTCCCGCTCGCCCCTCACCTTAAAGCACTACAACTCAGAATCCCTTCTAGGGAAAGTCAAGGGGCCAAAGGGCAAGTATTTGGCCAGTAAATAATTTTGTTTAGATTCATAAAGGCCTACAGGTTCCTTTTAAAGTGGATGGCAATGATTCCGTGGGGCTGCTCAATAACGACACCTGCAGGCTCAGGGGCTGTGGGGGGCCATGATTTGGGGCTGTTCTGGGAAAGGAGCTGAAGTGTGAAACTGGACGAGAAGCCCACAGACCCTCTCGGTTGGTTTCGCATCCTCCAGGCCCACTCAAAGCTGGAGACGCTGATGGAGTGGGCCCCACCCTCACCCGACCTGGCACAACGCCCACCACCCGGCAGGCGTGGGAGGTTGGGCTTCAAGCCTCCTTCGCCTCGGGCCAAGGAGATCAGGGAGGCTGGCTTTCCCATTGGCCACGCTGTACCCCTCCCCCCAGATCCGCGGGCTCTCATTGGCCAGGGCTACACGGGGGCGGAGCTCCAGACGGCTGTCAGCCACGTGTTCCCACGTGAATCGGCCCGCGTGTAAAAGAGCGCGCTTGGCGCTAGATCGGGTCAGCTGCTTCTCGTGTCCAGGCATGGCGTCGTCGGCCAGCGCGGCCTCTGACGACGGCGGTCGCAAGAAGCCCCGCCTGGCGGCCTCGCTGCAGATCAGCCCCGGGCCCAGTCCCTGGCGACCCTCGGCCGGCCTGGGCCAGGACGCCTGGGGACCCCCGCGCGCCGCAGGCGCGGAGGCGGACGCGGAGGGCGGCGCGCAGGCTGCGGGGCGTGGGGCTGGGGTCGGGGAGCCCGGGCCTGCTCGGGCGCGGGAGGACCCGGAGGTGCGCCCAGGGGGGTTCCCCAGGGTGTTGGGGCCCGCGGGCGACTTCCCCACTGCGGCTCGGCCGCTGAGCCTGCCGCTCAGAGACCCGCCGCCAAGCCAGGCCGTGGCCTCGCTCGCGCAGTATGCAGCCGGCTTGGGCGTCTCCCTGACCTTCCGAGAAGACCCGGTGGCAGGTGAGGCCCAGCCGGGCCGCGCTGTGGGGGGAGCCACGGGGTCGTGGGGCAGTAGGGCCACTGCTCACCCGCCCCAGGTGAAGCAAGAGAGGGTTGGTGGGCCGGACCCCAGCCCGGGCCTCCAGGTCGACCCCCGCAAACAGCAGGACCAGCCCCAGCAGACATCTGGCTGTGGCAAGGTCTTGGCTGGTGAATAGTATCCCCACCTGATACCCAGGAGTCTAAGGGACATGCCCCAAGACACCCAGCCTATCTGCACCCCCTTTAAAGGACCAGTTTTGCAGTTTCACTTGCCGTGCCAGTACTGCAGATTTCTGAAGTAGACACTGTTAAGCACAATTTGCAATATTTTATACACAACATATAGGAATAGTCATTACTGTGTTCTTCTGTCTTCCCCAATACACTCCCAACTCCCAGTCTTAAACAGTTTTAGTATGAAAGCTAATTGCAGACACCTTGTCCCTTATTCCTAAACACAGCAGTGTGTCTCTCTCAAGAACACGGTCATGGCTTGTGTAACTGCAGTACAATGATGACATTCTGGCAATTTGGCATTGATGATATAACACTCATCTAACTATCGTTCACATTTACATTTTGCCAATTTGTCCCAATAATCCCCCATGGCCATGAATTTCCATCCTAGCGTAACATATTACATTTGGTTGTCATACATCCTATAATCTCTTATCTCAAAGAATTCTATCATCTGTCGTTCACAGCACTGATGTTTTTGAAGAGTAAGGGCCAGTCGTCTTATAGACTGTCCTTCAGTTGGGACGGTCTGTTTTCTCGGGATCAGACTCACTCTGTGCATTATCAGTGATGTCACATCCTGGCAATGCATCCCATCAGGAGACGGGTGATCTCAGTTTGTCCTTCAACTGGCGATGTTAGGGAGAGGGTTTGATTAGGGTGGTATCTGTCGGTGTCTTTGCTTTCCCCTTTGTGCTTAATAAGCCAGCTGAGGGGAAACTTGGAGAGTGTGTAAATATTCCATCCCCATAGCCTGTTACCTTGTGATTTCCACCAACGATTTTTCTGTGAGGATTTTCTGAAGTCAACGTTCCTTGCTGGTTTTGATGCCCTTGTAGTGTCCTGCATCTCAGTTCTAATGAGGGTCGTGAAAGTGGGATCCTTTGCAAAGGGCAGGGCTTTTGAGAAGCAAGCAGCCAGCACTGTGACATTTAGGTTCCCAACCTTGACCAGGTGAAGCTGGTTTTAGGATTTCTGTCTCCTTGTGTTATCCGAAATGCCCGCAGTGATGCTGTTGTCTAGGAATATTTTCCAAATACGAGGAGGGGAAGAAATAAAAGGTGTGTCTGGTGGCAGGCAGAAAGCTGTCCTCTGAGCCCAGGAGTCTCCACCCTGAAGACAGCATTGCCTGGGCTCTGGAGGGGCCCTGGATTTCGGTCCTCCTCCTCTTCCGGCGTGCTGCCTGCCCTTCCCGGCCTCCCCTGCACAGTGCTTTCATCCCTGTGTGTTTCAGAGGCTTTGCGTTAACAGGGCAGAGCATGCCGAGGATCACACAGCACCTGTGTCAGTAGAGTCCCTAGCCAGGGGTGGGTTAAGACCTGGTTGTCACTGTGGCTGTCCTCGATGGCAGACGTCAAGAGGAAGCCTAGAGGAAAGAGTCTCTCTCTGGCAGGTGGGAGGCAGGGAGTAGGTGTGGCACCCCCCCTAGGAAGGGCCCTGATGGGGACACAGGCCAGGTGGGGCCTTCCTCACTGCCTCCTTCCACAGGTCCCTGCTTTCCCTTCTCGGTGTGTGCGGAACTGGATGGCGTGGTCTGCCCTGCAGGCACCGCGAACAACAAGACAGAAGCCAAACAGCAGGCGGCGCTCTCTGCCCTCCGCTACATCCACAGCCAGCTGGAGAGCCCAGGTAACCTCGCCTCAGCCTGCCGGAGAGGCTGCCGTGGCTCTGCGGGGTGTGTGGTGGTGAGGGGGGCAGTTTGCTGCTAGGACCGCATGGGCATCAGTAGGGGGATGTGTGCTGACCCCTGCTCCAGTGTCTTTGGAAGTCCTGCTCATGCGAGGGCAGGACTGCTAGAGGAGCAGCTCAGGGACTGTTTCTGAGAGGTGGAAACAGCCTCCTCTTCTCCCAGCTTCCCAGAGGATGGGAGGGCAGACCCTGGCACCCATGGCGACTGGCTCCCCTTATCTCTCTTTCAGAGCCTCCTGAGACTTTCAGCCAGCCTCCACTCACCTCCCTGAGCATAGGTAGGTGGACGCGTCCTGAGCCCCTGTGTGAGAAAGGGGCGTGGTCTGTGGTCCCACCTACACCTCTGGCCCTTGTACAGAGAACATCCTGACACATGAGCAGCGCTGCGCAGCTGTGGTCAGCGCTAGCTTGGACCGCCTGCTGGATGAGAATTCGCCATACCGGGCCTGCAAAGGGACGGTGGCTGCGGTCATCCTGGAGAGGGGTAGGGATGGCCCTGTAGCACCTTATAGGCTCCTTGGGGTTTCTTGCCCTGGGCTGAGCCCTTCCTGTCCCTCCCTGCAGAGGTCCCAGGGGCCAGGGGCCATGCCAAGGAGATCTACGAGGTAGTGGCCCTGGGCACTGGCAGCAGCAGCTGTGCTGGCTGGCTGGAGTTCTCTGGCCGGCAGCTCCATGACTGTCACGGACTGATCATCGCCCGCAGGGCCCTGCTGAGGTGAGGGCAGGTGGGGCAGGTTCTGCCATAGCCCCGGCCAGGACAGCAGCCCTAGCTGGCCCCCTGCCTGTCATTCCAGATTCTTCTTCCGGCAGCTCCTGTTGGCCACACAGGGGGGTGCCAAGGGCAAGGAGCGGTCTGTGCTGACCCCCCAGCCTGGGTCTGGGCCCCCCTTTGCCCTCAAGCCCCGGATCTTCCTGCACCTCTACGTCAGCAACACCCCCAAGGGAGCCGCCCACGACATCTAGTACGTGGGCCTCCTGGGAGGGGGCTGCCTCCGTTTGTCGAGGACTGGGTCAGAGGCGTGCCCTGACTCTGGGTCACTGTCCCCTGCCTGCCTTGCAGCCTCCCGCTGTCCTCGGAAGGCAGCCTTCTGCACAGCCCATCCTTCCGCCTGCAGGCGCATGTCCGTGGACAGCTGAAGCCCGTGTCCTACCTGGTGCCTGCGCTTCGTGACACCCATGTGGGCTGCCTGTCAGCCAGTGACAAGCTGGCACGCTGGGCAGTGCTGGGTCTGGGTGGTGCGCTGCTGGCCCACTTCCTGCCACCTCTCTATGCCACCAGCCTTGTTCTGGGTGAGGGGCAAGAGAGGTGGCAGGGCGAAGTGGGCTCTGCGTGGAGTGGGGAGGTGTGGAGGTGACTCAGACCATGACCTGTGCCTCTGTCCACAGCTGACCCCTGTCATGACCCCCCTACTCTGAGCAGGGCCATCCATGACCGGCCCAGCCTGGATGGCGTCCTAGGGTCACGCCTGCCACCTCCCTATGTCCGGACCACCCTACACCTGTTCTCAGGGCCCCCGGTGGCCCCCTCCAATCCCGTCCCCAACAGCTGCCACGGCCTGAGCCTCAACTGGAGCCTGGGGGACCCGGACCTGGAGGTCGTGGACGTGGCCACTGGGCGCGTGAAGTCCGAGTGAGAAGGCCCCCGGGGTGGGTTGAGGAGGGCCGATAGGACCAGCTCCCTGCCTGCAGGGTCGAACCGCAGCTCAGGATGGCTGGGGCTGTCCCTGGTGACACTGTCACTGCCCACAGGCCACCTGCCCTCTCTTTCCCTCATCTCCACCATCTTTGTCCCTGCAGTGCCGCCCTGGGGCCTCCCTCCCGCCTCTGCAAGGCGTCCTTCCTCCGGGCCTTTCGCCAGGCAGCCTGTGCCCTGGGGAAGCCCCACCTCTTGGCCCTGAAGACCTACGAGGCTGCCAAGGTCAGTCCTTCTCCAGCCCTCTTCCTCCTGCCCTCCTGCACCCCGGCAAGTGCCCCTCTCACACCATGTCTCTCCCTAGGTGGGGCCCTACCAGGAGGCTCGCCAGCAGCTCACCCTCCTCCTGGAGCAGCAAGGCCTGGGCGCCTGGCCCTCCAAGCCCCTGGTGGGCAAGTTCAGAAACTGATGTCCCTGAGCAGAGCCGAGCCCAGGGTTTGGGTCTGTAGCTGGGTGGGGGGTGTGGAGGGGCACACTGGGGTTTGAATAAAGAAGTGGTTTCTGGTGCACTCTGTGTGTGTGTGTGTGTGTGTGTTGGGGGCAGTGGGCTGGGTGGTTTGTGAGGAGAGCCCTCCTGCCCCTCTGAGAACCCACTGCAGCGTAGGCTCATGGGTGTGGGGACAGGTCTGGGGTGGGGCTCTCCTGCCCCTGCCTTCCAGCCAGGGTGCTGGGCCAAAGGACAGGTTCTGGCTGCTGTTGGTGGTGAGGTGTGGGAGTGACTCTTCCTCACTGTGGAGGCCCTGCGTCCCTCCCTCCCAGAGCTTGGGCTGAGGGGAGCAGCTGAGAATGTGTGGGCCCAGGCGAATGGTGGGAGGCCTCAGCTGTCCTGGCCTACTGAGGGTGCTCTGTGGGCTTGAGCAGCCCAGGTTAGGGAGTGCAGGGTGGCAGTGGGTCCAGTAGGCCTTGCTCCGGGTCGTCCAGCTCTTTGGACTGGGTAAGCCCGAGGCTGCCTAAGCAGTGTCAGCTGCAGGCTTCGGGTTCTTTGGAACGGCATAGTTCACCCCCAGCATGGCTGGTGCTCTGCAGACCTTGGATGTGGAGGGAAGAGGCTGACCCTGCATGGGGTGTGTGGAGACTCTGCAGACCTGCAACCTCACCAATCTGGGCAGTGTCCCAGGAGCACAGCAGCTCTCAAGTCCAGGGACCCAGGGCCAGCCCTGTGGCCTCTACCCAGAGTCCAAGGCTCCCTGCATCCCCAGCAGCTCCAAGATTCAAAACCACAGACTCCTCTTGTGGCTGGGTCTCGAGAAGCTGGTCACAGTGGCAGAATGTTTAATTTCATGTGTCAACTTGGCTGGTGTTGATGGCGCCCACAGTAGCTGGTGAAACACAGCTCCTGGTGTCCTGAGTGGTCTCTGGAGAGAAGAGCATTGGAATCAGGATGGGTAGAGAAGATGCCCCCCAAACCCCCAACCCATACTAGGCCGCATATCCAAACTGCCCTGGGCCACAATAGACCCAGAAGACAGAGGGTAAATCCACTGGTCTTGAGCTGACTCCATCTTCTGCCTGTGGACCCCTGCATTCCTGGGACTCTGGCACTCATGTGGCAGACCACGGGACTCCTCACCCTGCGACTGGAGTCTTCTGTAGATCTCTGGGTGTCCGTCAGCTCTGCTTTCCTGGAAAACCTGGACGAACATTGATGGTCCCCCCAGGGAGCCTTCAGAGTTGGGCCCGGCCTGCCAGGGAGCCCTGAGATTGGATCCCCTCCCTCCAACATGTCCTCTGCCACTGGGTGTGTGAGGCTGTGGCCGGCTGTGTCAACTCTGTGTGCACCAATTGGCTCGTCGCATCCATGGACCCACAACCACGGAGGCCACCAACAGTAGATTGAAAATACTAGAGAGAACCGCACCCATACTGAATGGGCAGACATGTTAGGTTTTCCAAACAGTGTAGAGAATATGAGAGCTGTTTGCAGAGCAGGTATGTTGTGTTAGGCGTTATAAGCAACCTAGACACGATGTAAACTCTACTGGAGGGGCTGGGGGTCGGTGAGCCCCTGGGTTCCCTCCCTGGCACCCCCTCTCCACAACAAGTGCTGGGAGGCTGTGCACAGCTCATGTGGACACCAAGGCACTTCAGAGGACAGACCTGAGATCCTCAGATCTTGCTGTTTCCAAGGAGCCTGGAGCCAATCCCCGCAGTGCCAAGGGGTGACTAATGGGAGGACTGGTCTGGCTCGTCTGTCCTGGGGTGCACTCTGCTGGTCCACGGGGCCCCTGCTCTCCCTTTCCACAGTACTGCAGCCACTGCCCACTTGGGCGGAGGAGGGACCACCAACCGCAGGTGCCAGTTTCCAGCAGCCCGGGCCAGGGCTTTGCTCAGGTGCAGTCGCCACCTCACGCCTCATTGTCCAGGTGAGGAGGTGCAGGGTGAGGCTGGGGCCTCCGAGGTTCCCATGGAGCCCCAGGGACGCTGCACAGTCCCTCTGTGACCCCGGATGACGCTCTAAATGTTTCTGAGCCCCAACTTGCTGAATTATAAGACAGAATGGGCGATACCTCTCCTGAAGTCTCCTCCTGGCCCTGGCTCCCCTCTTCTCCCTCCGCTCTGCTCCCAGCTTCGCCACTCAGAAAGGAGCTGTGGGTTGGTGCACTTGGGGAAAGTGGTGCTGGGACGTCAGCATGAGAGTGGCCGGGGGAGGACAGGAGAGGGGAGCCCAGGCAGGAGAGGCTGCAAGGGGGAGGCCAGCGACCTCAGGCCAGGAGGGTGCAGGGAGGGAGTCCACCAGCAGAGGCAGGCGGAAGCTGGTGCGCTCTGATTTCTGCTTAACTAAGAAAACAACTGTGTTATTTACAGTTAGGTGGTGTTTAAAAAATGAAGCCAACTTTCAGCCAATCATTTCTCATGGTTATAACTTTTTTAGGGCTGGAGAGGGCTTTTGAACCCCCCAAGTCTATTAATCAGTCCATTTACTACAAATTTTGCATTGATTTACTTGGCACTGCGGCGGTGACTACAGCCGGGTCCTGAAGTCCCCCGCCATTCCAAACTCAGCTCTGTGCCCTGGTGAGCCTCGCGGTGCTCATTGATCACATAATCCCCAGGCAAACAAGTTCCTCAAAATGACATCAACTCTGCTGTGTTCTGCCAAATAAGTACTCCTTGTCCTCACGTCCCCTATCTGCCTGCCCTGTCCCCTGCCGACAGTCTCTGCTCTCCACTCGGTCAGCTCCTTTGACTCAGCTTACGCACCGTTGTGGGCGATGATGAGGCTACTTCTGCCATGGACAGTCTGTTAATGTCCTCTTGGCCTAACCCCTTGGGTGGAGTTTTGCCAACAGTAGCACATTTAAATCGGGAGGTGATGTCATCTAGCTTGGCAAATTCAAGTGCTGCTTCCTCAGCATGACCCCCTCCCCCAGCCCCCTCCCTGCAGCCCCAGGCTCGGGAATCTTCGCTGGACCCTGGATGGCCTTTGCATTCTACTATGCACTTGGGTAAACGATATGACACATAAACTCGCCAGGCATGGTGGCGCACACCTGTGATCCCAGCGGCTGGGGAGGCTGAAGCAGGAGGATCGTGAGTTCAAAGCCAGCCTGAGCAACTTATTGAGGCCCTAATCAACAGAGTAAGACCCTGACTCTAAATAAAATTTTAAAAAAGGCTGGAGATGTGGCTTGGTGATTAAGTGCCCCTAGGTTCAATCCCTGGTACCAAAAAGAAAAAGAAAAATTGTATGGCATATAAATTGTATCTCAGAAAAGCAGCTACATAAAGCATTCTTAAAACATTAGTTTGGCTGAGAATGGTGGTGCACACCTCTTACCCCAGGGGCTTGGGAGGCTGAGGCAGGAGGATTGTGAGTTCAAAGCGAGGCGCTAAGCAACTCAGTGAGATCTGTGTCTAAATAAAATACAAAAAGGGCTGGGGATGTGGCTCAGTGGTCAAGTGCCCCCTGGTATCTGCTCCCCCAGAATTAGTCTCTTGCAGCCCGGGCTGTGTGTGCACTGCCATCTCAGGAGGCCTGGCTTCTCTCACGTCCACGCACACAGTGGTGCCTGCTGAGCTGCGGGCATGGAGCTCCGCGTCCACTGGGGCTCCGAGCAGTTTACCCCTCACAGGACAGTCCTGAGGTCCCTGCCTGGGTGCAGGTCACTGTCCACACCTCAGTGGAGGTAGCCTCCTCCTGAAGGTTCCTGGTCTCCCTCTGCTCCCATGCCCTTGGGTCCAAACCTGGCCGCAGGCCACACCTTGCCACAGAGGTGGCTGGTTAGCAGCGGCACTGCTGTCCTTCAGGGAGGTTCTGTTACTAAAGAGGACACAGATGGACACAGGCTGGCGTGGTCAGTGACCTTCCCACAGGGTGCGGGGAAGGTCTGACAGCATCTTCCCTGTGGGAAGGGCCCGTTCGAGGCAAGGGAGCGTTCGGGGCCTCTGCCGTGTTGGGCAGCCCTGCCCCGTCCCTGCGGGGCCTGAGTGCACCTCCTTCCTGCACTCTAGCGCCTTCTCTCCTGTGGACACAAACGCCAGGATGTGCCCTGGAGGACACTGGGGGGGCTGGGGGTCGGTGAACCCTGCCCCTCCTCCTCCTGCAGGGCTTTGCTACAGCCTCATCTCGGGGTCCGCCTCTGCAGAGCAGCCCCCACTGTCTTCCTTGGTGCCTCTTCGGCTGTTCCTGCAAGCCCCCAAGCCTGGAACAGCCTTGGGGACAGCTCTGGGGACATCGCACACCCTGCCTGGCAGCCCCTTCCCAGCCTTGCCCAGGGGCCTCTGGGCCCAGCTTGGCAGCTCATCCTCAAGATCCCCAGGGTGAGCCCAGAGCTGTTCTGCTTTCTCTTCAAAGAGCCCAGACGGGGCAGTGGGCAAGGGGGTGTCCCTGCATGCCCCAGGGAGCTGGGGGCAGGGTACCCCTCTTATGAGCAGGGCATGCCGGTCCAGCTCTCCCAGAACTGTCCCCAGCACAGGGGCTGGCACAGAGTAGTAGTCACCCAGGGATGCTGCCCTGTACCCATTTCCCTCCTCAGGACAGTGCCCTCCTTGTCCTCAGGAGACCTCACCCTGTCCACTCTGGCCTGGGTGGGGCAGAGCCCATGTTCCTGGGTGAGTCTCCACCCACATGAGCCAATTAGTGAAGCCACAGAAGTTGGTTCCAGGATATGCACGTAACCTGCTCCATAAGACCAAGGAGAGCTGTGATTGGGAGTCTAGGCACAAGGCATTTTCTTTCAGTGGATTTGGTGGAGTGTGGATGTGAGATTTAGAGCTTATGCAGCCACCTTGTGGCCATGAAGAGAGCCTGGAGAAAGCCACCACACCCGGGAGGCAGAGGGAGATGCAGTGAATCTGCGTCAGCCAATGGCATTGGCTGAACCCATGGACTAAATCATACCTGAACTCCATCTGGATTTCCAGTTATAAGAGCCAATAATTCTCTGATTGTTTATCCGCTCATTTATTTGTCTAATGAGGTCAGAATAGGGCTTCTTGAACTTGGAAAGGAGTCATTCTGATATTTACAAGTGCGTTCTAGAGCGTGTGGAGCTATTATCAGGGTGGGAGAGTGGCACAGGAGAGAAATTTGCTCTTGCTCCGTGTGCCCCTGGGTTTCCCCATCTACACCACCTCCCCAAGCCCCACCTGGGCTTGAGCCACATTTGCCAGTCAGTGTGAACGGGCTGACCAGGCCCCCCGACACTGCTGTGGCCGCCACGTGGCCTGGCTGCTCTCCTCCGTCTCCCCTTCCCCCTGCTAGTGTTTTCCAGGACCCACGGAAGGAAACACAGTCACTCAGGCAGCGACTTTCTGCAGAGGAGTGGGGAGCCATGGGGCAGGCCACAGGGTGGGTCGCTCATGGACTTGGAGGACCACTGAGGTCAACGTGGGTCTTGACGTGGGTCTTTGAGGTAAAGGAGCGTTCGGAGCCTATGCTGTGTTGGGCACCCCTAGCCACTCAGAGGGGCTGAGTGATACAGGGCTTCTGCCCAGCCAGTGAGCTGCCCCTGAACACGACCTCCGTGGAAACCCCTCGTCAGGCACGTCCCCTGCTCCTGCCTTCCCGGCCCCCGCGCCTCCCTGATTCAGTGCGTCCCAATTGCGAACCTTTGTTCCAAGAAACACTGTTTCCTTTGACCTTGGTATCGGGGCTTGTTTTCCAGTTAACAGATCATCTTGGAATATGATGGCTGCACTCCCATCCTGCCCCAGATTGGCTTTAGAGGAACCCAAGGTCCCCGAGAACCCAGCAAAGCCTCCTTCAGGAGCCTGGCCACATCTGGCCCTCCCAAGCCCACCTGTGGTCACTCCCCGTCTTTCCTGGGCCTCCACGGTCCTGGGACTTCAAGCTGTGGGGGCGTGTTCTCTGCATGCTCAGGGCTGCCCTCCCCCTCCCTCCCCTCACCCTCCACTGGGCCCTGCAGGCTCCTGTGCTGCTCACGCCTCTCCACGCCTGGCACGTAGTAGATGCAAAAGAAATGCTGCCCCAGAAACCAGCCTTGGCCACACTCAACTCATGGCCCCAGTCTCGCTGGTGGCCTGGGTGGGGGCCCTGGCCCTGCCACTGCCTTTCCAGGGGATCCTCCACCTGCCCAAGGTCAACCCCAGCAGCCTGGTGACTGGACCCGCTCTGACACACAGAGAAGCCCCAGCCTCACTTCTTACTATTCTTTAATGCTTCTCTGGGGGCACATGGGGGTGGGGGTCCCTGGAGGCTGAGCCAGGAAGGTGCCAGGTGAAAGTGCTGAGCTTCCCCAAAGGGACCCCAGGCAGGTTGGCCACTGCTGGGTACCAGGAAAGTCTTCAGAAGAGCAAGATTGGCTAATTTTAGCTCAGGACACCCAGATTCTCTCGAGCCACATCACATGGAGCCCAGCGTCCCCGCGGCTTTGTTCTCCTTGTGGCAAAGGTGAGTGACGGAAGTCGGCAGCTGACGGGCGCCGCCACCTTTCTCTGGAGTCCTTGGGAGGCACACAAGGGCTGGGCTCCTCGTGTTTTATTTTTAACAACGTCACATTCCTGGAGGTGCCCCTTGGATGGACGTCAGATGCTGCACAGAGACAGGCGCTGGGCCGGATCAGGTGGCCCAGACTGGGAGCCCGGGACAGCGAATCCAGAGCCTGACTGAGTCCGGGCTTTGCCAGCACTGGCTGTGTGGCTTGCCCAATTACCTCCCCTCTCTGGGCCTGTCTACACCTGTAAAGTGGGCAAGTTGGACCCAGTGATCACTAAAGTCTTTTTAGTTCTAAAAATCTGTGAAGCTGGTCAGGTTGTGGGAAGGACAGTGGAGGGTCCCCTTCTTGTCACAGGAGGACAGAGATGATGTGCTGAGCCTTGGGAACGGGTTCACCTGCAAGAAAGACATGCCCTCGTCCGCACACACGTGGCTGGAGTGGCCAGAACGTGCCCAGCCAAGTCAGCACGTGCTGCCTGTCCTGCTGGCTAGGGAGAGGAGCAGGATCCATTTGGGATTTGGGTTTGAGTATCCCTGGGCCAAGCCACAGCACTCCCAGGCCCCTGGACTCCTTTCTCAGTCTCCAGTCCCCTGCTAACGTTTCCTGGGGTCATTTCCAACAAAGGGCTTGCATATCACTGACAAGGGACGTGGTACCCCCAGACGTGACACCCGAGAGGGACACAGCTCACTTAGGCAGTTGGACACCCCATACTTGGAAATATTCCCAGACCTCTGGAACCGCCCGGGGACTCCTGACGAGGAGCGCTTGGGCCAGGGCAGCTGAGGCGTCTGAAGATCTGCGAGCAGAGGCCCCTGGCGGTCAGCCTGCTCTTCAGTGGCTCCGGAAAACATGCTACTCACAGATAAGGACAATAAAGACGGGACAAATGATAACATCGATGGACAGGTGAAAAGGTGGATCGGGGTCTTCTATCACTACTTTTGTTCTTGCAGTTTTTCTTGTGTGTGTTTGATGTGTTTTCCAAAGAAAATGTTGAAAAGCCCACTGTGGGGGCCTAGCAGTCGTCCAGCAGTGACGCCTGTCATCCCCAGATCCAGGAAGAAGAGGGCGAGGGTTCAGGAGGCAGCTCCAGGGGCCTGTGTGGTGGGAAGCCACTGCCAGCGGCCAGGCGATTGGGAGTGTGGCAGCAGGTGGGCAGGCAGGGGCTGGTGGGCAGATGCAGGGAGGGACATCAGTGGACACATTCGGCTTGAGCCACTTGCCGCTTTGCCAAGGAGCCACTTCGCAGCCTGGGACGTGTCCACAGCTGGTTCCTTCTCAGCGCTCTCCTGTTCGCAGCTGCCCCTCTTCCCAGAATCACAGTCGCCCCCAGCTGATGAGGATCCACGGCCTCTCTTGCATGGTCCCTGTGGAATAAGTGAGGAAAGGGAAGGCCAGACAAGTGGACCCCCAGGTCTAGTGTTGCACAATGTGCTGGACAATGCTGCTTACTCCGCTCAGGACAGAGTGGCCTGGTAGCCTGAGAGCTGCAGCAGGATGCCCTCCAAAGGGTGCTCTGCTGGGAATCAGGATGGTGGAGCTGACTAGATGAGTTGGCTGTGTGGTCCTGGCAGGTGGTCTTCCCTCTCTGAACCTTCCTCTCTCCATCTTAAAATGAGGGAGTTGATTTACTCTAGAGTTCTTCATTCTTTTTGAGGGACTGTGATTCCTTTGAGTAACTGGTGAACTCTGTGGCCACTCTGCACTTCAACCTGCACATCATCCCAAGAGGTCCACCCCTCTGGGCCCCTGTGGACACTCCCTGTTTAGACTAACTTAGTCTGATGGAACTCCCATAGTCTTAAGTCCTAGGAGCCATCAACATAGAGTCAGTGGGTTCCTGGGACACTCCCTGGTCCAGCCCCACTAGAATCCCTCCAAACCATTCAAGATTTCACTCATCCTCCCAATGTGCTGCTCGGGCTCATCTCCACTCAGCTAGAGGGACGCTGAACCAAATGGCAGCCATCGCCAGGAACATGACCCTGGACAGATACCACCTGAAAAATGGCTCCAAGTGAAGGTCGTTTCTCCTTGTCATCAGCAGGACAACGTCCACCTGTGGCTACAGTCACACCCCTTGGCCCCAGAGAGAAGGAGTCCTCTGGAGACCGCAGGCTCTCTCAGCCAATGGGGATGGAGACGCTGCCTATAGGAGCTTGACACTCCCGATCGGCAGGAGAGGCTGCTCAGCAAGGACAGGCCAAGGCGATCCAGACACTAGCAGCAGAAAAAAATAGAGCTTTAATTAAGCCCCACATGCAAGCCACTGATTGCAATTTACCATCTCAAATTTAGTAGAGAATTTCCCCCAGGCCTGTGTGCAGTCACTTTAGAACCTCACGGCGTTGATGGTGGCTCATCTAATCTTGGTCTTCAACTTTTCCTTTAGCCTTGGCACATTCTGTGGAGAGGCCTGGTATGGTAGGTGGGACAAAGGACCGTGGAGACCTCTAGGTGGGAGCCAGTCACAGTGGTGAGCAGAGCTGCAGTTAGGAGTCACCGCAGCAGACACCCGGCACAGACATGTCCTCAGTCAGGAGATGGGGCAGATGTGGGGGCTTTCAAGGACCCCAGGTCTTCTAGTGTCTATTGAGGATTCTGCTCTGGTCCCAGGGCTGAGCCTCCCCTCAGCTCAAGGGGATGTGGGCAGGCACTGCCTGGGGGGGAGAAGGTGTCTAGAGATTCTTGCATGATTCTAAACATCACCGGTTGCCAGGGTGGTGCCCTGGCTGGCAGAGCTCTGCCCGCTTGGCTGATCTTCTCTGCCACGAGGCCCTGAAGGGAGTCTGTGGAACTCTAGTCAGAACACCCCAGGTCAGGATCTACCCTGATCTGCCGTTGATCGCAAGAGAAAGAGGGCTGCCCAAAGTCACGGAGGGAGTGAGAAGTCCAGGCCTCAGGAGGCACCGAGTGGTCCAGCCCCCGGAAGAGAGTAAGTCGGAGCCTTCGTCTTTTTAAAATTTTGCCCAAGAGTAGTCACAAAAAAGTTTAGCCTGGGGCAAAAGACTCATGGCTATTGTTCAAGGGTCCCCAGAACTTGACCCAATGCCTGTGAGACTTCGCCAGCCATTTCCCAGAGCAGAGTGGCCTGTGAGAAGTAGGAATTGTAGAGACTTTCCTTGTGCGGTGGCCACTGTGTCACCTTGCAACGAGCTTACTTGGAGAAATGTCAGCTTGATGACCCGCTGACTGCTGAGGGGTAAAGGGATGGGGACATGGGCCTGCACCGCCGGGAGGACATCTGAGGAGTCGAAGGAGTCGAGGGTTCCTTGCAAGGCCAAAGCTCACTTCAGGCTCGGTGCTGGTGCTCCGCGCCAGAGCCGTCGGCCGTGTGTCGTAGTAGGGCAACCTGGGCCTGGCACAGAGAGGCCTAAACACCAGTGGAAGGAGCGAACAGCAAGGGACCTATCATCAGCGATGACGTGCCGACCACCCCCTGTGAGGCCATGCTGTACCCGCAGGTCCCGCTCCCCGGCCCAGACTCATCTGTGTCCCATGTACTTTCCCAGTGGACATTCAGCCAACAGAGACCAACAGTGCAGGGCCCTGTCACTCCTGGGGAGTGCCATTGGGACATCTTCTAGGTGTGCTCTGCTGAGAGACAAAAGACGAGAGAGACTCCAGATGTGACTCGACCTTGTATGGTGAGTTCCACGGAGGAGGTCCCCTGCAGGTCCTGCTTCTCTGCTCAATCACCCCCATTCAGTCTGGTCTCACATCCTCTCGACCATTGTTATCGTCCTCACCCACCGTCTGTCCACACCACCTCTACAAAGCTCCGCGGGTCTGCATCCTCTCATCTCAACCCACTTTTCCCCCAAATGCCCCTAAGCATTCAGCCCATCTGGGCCTCTGGGCCTCTAGGCCTTTAGGCGTCCACTGCTCAAGAGGTCCTTGTCTTCTCTGTGGATCTCAGGACCCCTTGCCTCATCCCCAGCACTGTGGCCCTCAGCCTGGCTTCTCTCCTGGGTGCCAAGGGTTAATCTGCCCATAAACCAACAGAGGAATACGCACATCTAGATATAAACAGAATGTCCGTCCCGTGGCCTGGTCCAGGAGCCAGCTGGGGTAGACCCTGGCAGCGGCTCTGTGTCCGTGTGTCTTGGCTGAGCTTGGAGAGCTGAGGTCCCTGCAGGGCTGGAGGAACCAGCAGCAGACATCACAGAGCCCCGGGAGAGTCGGCCTCTGTCAAGGCCAAGGGCTGGGTGGCTGCAGAATGTCCCACCAAGAGCCTGGCCAGCCAAGGAGAGCTTTCTGTGCCCTGCTGGCAAGTGCTGCTGCGCCCAGGTCCCAGGTTGGCCAGAGGATGGCAGGCCTGAGGCCATGCACCCCACACCAGCCAGTTCTGCCTTCTTGGCACAGAGCTTCCAGAACAGGGGGCTGGCAGCTGCCCCTTCGGGAAATCCGCTGGTGGAGGTTAGGTTGAGAGCATGTGGTGCCCCACGGAGCACGTGGAGCTGGGCGGGGGTCTAGCGGAAGGGTTTCCCCGTGGTGATGTGGCCCAAGAAAGCAGGTCCTAGGGAAGAGTGGGATTCTGCAGGCTCGTCATTTAACCAGTTCTGTGGGCATCAGGTCCCAGAGTGGGATGCTGCAGGCTGCTGGGGAGAAGAGAGAAGGCAGGGAGATGGGCCCGGCTCAGGAGGATGGGCTGTGCTCAGCAGATGGGCAGGAGGGGAGGAGGCAGGTGGCTGGGGAAGGCTGGCCTGGATCTGGAGGCCATGAGCGCCAAAGATCACAGCGACAGACATCTTTGGCCGGGCAGCCTCCTTGCTTTGGGAGGCTCTCTGGAGCTCTGGAGACCTGCGGCCAGTTGGTCTACCCCAGGGTTCTGGAGCTTGGTTCAGCGAGAGGGACGGGCTGGAGCTACAGGGTGCATTCAGGAGGGATTCTGAGCTACACTTGGGGGACCGGCAAGGCGGGGCCCTCCAGCATCAGGTCGTCCACGTCGGCGAGGAGCTCATGTTCGCTGTCAGAGTTGGTGCGTTGGAGGCGGCGGAGGCGGGCCTGCAGCCGATCCTGCTCCTTCTTGAGCTCCAGGTAGGAGTGGGAGAAGGTGTGGAAGATGGACGTGGCCGGGAAGGCCATGATGAGGATCCCGCTCAGGATGCTGCTGAGGGCCACCATCTGGCCTGGCACGCTGCGGGGCACCATGTCCCCGTAGCCCACCGTTGTCATGGAGATGATGGCCCACCAATAGGAAGCAGGAATGCTGGTGAACTCCAGGACCCGGCCGGACTCATTCTCCGCCAAGTAGACCAGAGGGGAGAAGAGGGTGACCGCCACGGCCAGGAAGAGGAGCAGCAGCCCGAACTCCCGCGCACAGCGCTGCACTGTGAGGCCCAGCGTCTGCAGCCCCAGCGAGTGGCGCGCCAGGCGCATCACGTAGAGGATGCGCAGCGCCCGCAGCACGCGCAGCACCAGCCCCACCTTCTCCAGGTAGGAGCTGCTGCTCGGCGGCCTCTCGCCGTCCTCCGGGGGTTCCTCGGACACCGCCAGCGACACGTAGTACGGGGAGATGGCTAGGATGTCGATGATGTTCAGCGGCCCCTGGAAGAACTGGCACTTGTTCCGGGCCTGGACGAACCTCAGGCAGAACTCCAGGGAGAACCAGGCCACGCAGATGGTCTCCACCACGAAGATGTAGTAGCATTTGTGAGAACATTCGCCCTGGGGGGGAGAGCAACCAAAGGCAGGTGGGGAGAACCCCAAGGCACGGGAAGTGGGGAGACGGCTTCTCCTAAGAAGCCTTCCTGGATGGGTCAGCCGGCCAAGCTGTCCACCCAGCCTCCTCTTTTGCAGTTTCAGGTTGTGGCTGGTTGCAAGGCTGCTCGGCTGGACCTGACGCCACCCTCTCCAGCCTCCCTTGCAGCCAGCTGACCGACTCACCTATGGAGAACCACCTCTGGGCCCAGGGGTTGGGCTGCACACTCCCGGTTCCCTGCACCAGGACGCACAGGTGGGCCTGCAATGCAGCTCAGAATGGCAGGTTGGACCAGCGCTCTGGGGAGGATAGACTCCAGGTGGAAAAATCTGGGTCTCAGAATAGGAGCCGCCCACTCACCCAGGTCTCAATGGGGACTGTCTGCAAGAGAGATACCAACTGCTATTTCGTTTCAAGCCTGGCTGCGAGGGCTTCCATGTTACTGAGGCCAACCTTCACCTTCGCTGATGTAACCGCATTCTGGGTGCCACACTACTCTGGTGCTGGCCCTTGGCAATGCTGTGAGTGAGTGGTGTGACCTCAGTTCACGGCTCAGGAAATGGCTCCTAGTAGTGCGACGACTTGCCTGAGCTCACAGACCTAGTAGATGGTGGTTATGGTGGCTGAGACCTGACCCCAACCCAGGTCTCAGCCACCATAAGCTGTTTCTGTAACTTCATCTACTGTCCCTCATTCTTTGAGTCGACAAAAATGAATTGAGGGTCCCCCGTGTGTCAGGCGTGTGTTAACTCTTGGGGTAAGGTAGCGAGGGCAGCAGACCTAGCTCTGGGGGCTGGAGGGACCCAGGGCTGCTGTCCAGCCCCTGTGACATGTGGTGGTAACCTTCACCCAGCCATTGTCTTCCTTGCTGGTTCCAGCCAGGTGGGGCCACCCTGTGTTGCTCAGCTCCCTGCCCCTGGCTCCTAACATCTAACATGGTCCCACTAGCCTGTTATTATTCAGAGTGTGGTCCTCCAACCAAGGCATCGACCCCCCTCCCCGCATCTGCATTTTAACAGACTCCACAGGTGGTTTGGTGCACACTGAGGTTTGAGAAGCCCTGCTCAAATGTGTCTCAACCTTGGCTGTGCCTTAGAGTCACCTGGGAGGCTTGGAAACACCCTGTTGTCCAGGCCAGATGCCCAGAGATTCTAATTTAGTTGATCTGGGTTTTCACTTGAGTGGTAGAATTTTCCAGAAGCCCCATAGATGATTCTAATGTGCAGCCAGGGTTAAGAACCTGACTATTAATAACACACACAGAAGCACACACCTGATGGATGAGTGGATGGATGGCCAAAGCCCACTGCCCTTGTGAAAAGCAGGATGTTGACAATGGCAGTTTTTTAGATTAAAACGCTCTGAAGTGGAAAAAGAAATTATTTCCAGGGCTTGGGCCCAGAGGAATTCTAAAACGCAATGTTCTCTATGTCTGACTGCGGGAGAAAAAGAAAGGGGCGGGTCCATCCCAGGTCTCACTGGCCTGTCCAGGGCCGGGCTCTGTTCTCCTTGACCTCTGTCTGGTCTGTGTAGGGTGGGAGCCAGAGGGAGGGCTGTTGAGAGGTGGAGCCCAGAGCATTTGTGGCCCAGGTTCAAATCCCAGCTGTCCCACTTACTCAGGGGAGTCATTTGTCCCCTCTAGACTTCCAGTCTGTGCCCTGAAGGTTGGTGGGCACATGCAACCCATGCATATGAAGTGTTGACAGCACGCTGTGACTACTGGGCATGTGACCGACATGTCACTCAAGACAATAGCCTCCTGGCTCAAACGGAGGGCATCCGTGTCCTCCTCCTGCTGCTGAAGACGTTCTCTACCCTCTGAGATGGCTTCAGGATCCGAGGTCTGCTCCGGATCCTGGAAAGCGCAAGAGTTTGGGATCCTGAATCTCCAGTCCTGCTGTGTGACCTTGAAATCGTCCTTACTCTCTCTGTGCTTCAGTCTCCAATGGAGAGTTTGGGACACAATCGGAATTTTTCAAAGCTGAGACAGAACCTCTTGCATCAGAAGATCCCAGGGGGGTTTTGCAAGTGCAGGTTCTTGGGCCCCCACAAAACTGCCACCTGGGTGGGGCCCAGGAATGTGCAGGTTGGCAAGGCCCCCAAATGTGGAAGCACCGGAGAGCTAGACCCTGGGCCAGATTCCCCCTACAAGGCCTCTTGTTTACTGACACCCGGGTTGTTCCCCTTGGCTCTAGAGGCCTGTGGTGTGGGGAAGACTTTTCAAAACCAACACAGGGCTCCTGAGGTGACTCCTGAGGGGCTGAGAGGGCCTGCAGGCCCCCCCGCCCCCACCCCTGTGGCCGGTGCTGGCGTCTGGGTGTTCACGCCGGACGCACCCTGTCCTCCCACAGCCTGGCCCGGTCCCTCCCTGCACTGCAGCAGGGCTCCACCTGACTCCACCTGACCCTCCGCAGCCGCCTGGGGATGAGCAGCTGGCAGCAGGCGGTGGGATCCACGGCTCCAGGGAGGGTGACCACCCCCCCAGGCCGCATTGGAAGGAAACGAGGAAAGGGAAGGAAGGAAAGAAAAGAGGGTTCCGGTTCCTGTCTCTCTGGGGAAGCTGCTGGTGGCATTTTGCGGGGAAGGGCACAGCTCCAACTAGTCCCTAGTCTGTCCCTAGTCTGCCCACATCTTTCTGGGTCTGAGCACAGAAAACTCTGGTCCTAGAAAGCCCCTCCATCCTAGGCAGGCAGAGCCCTGTGTCACCCTGTTCCTGGGCTGGCTCCCTGTGGGAGTGAGGGGGCCCTGATTCCTTCATTCAAGGAGAGGCACAGAGGCACCCCAGGAGGCCAGAGTGGGACCAGGGACCACAGGCCCCAAGTGGAACCGAACAAGCCCGATGCAGCATTTCCACCTACGGCATGTTCAGGAAGGGGTGGAGCTAAGCATTTTGATGGCAGGTGCCCTGGGCTGACCGGGAAGGGCCATGGGGGCAGTTTTGGGGGGTGGGGGGATGTTCAATGTTATATTAACAGGGGTGAAGGCTGCACTGCGTATCCATGTGTTAAATGCAGCTATGGCTGGTGCGTTTCAGTGCACATCATGGTACCTGCAAAATGGTAAGGTAAAAATGATGAATGACAAGGAGGAGCGATTGCAGGGGAGAGGGGGAAGGAGAATGATAGGACCTGGTGATTGAGCTGAGTCTTGGGTACTGGGGTCCACTGTACTATTCCATGACTTTGTAGATGTCTGAAATTTTCCATGATGAAAGTTCAAATGCAAGAAATTAAAAAGAAAATCCAAAGCCACAAGGAGATACCACTTCCCACCCACGAGGCTGGCTGGAATCAAGAAGACAGCCCCCGGGAAGAGTGGGTGAGATCGTGGAGAAGTGGGACCCTCCGTGGCTGCTGGTGGGATGCTCAATGGTGCCTCTGCTGTGGAGAACAGTCTAGAGCTTCCAAGGGACCCAGCAGAGACAAGGACACACACGTCCACCCACAGACACTTGTACACAAAGGTCCCCAGCAATGTTACTCATCTCGGTGCAAATTGGAAACAACCGTGATGCCCATCAGCCACCAATGGGTAGCTCCAGTGTGGCACTCACGCATGCCGCACTCATCAGCCATAGAGGGGAACGAGGTACGATCCGCACCAAGGTGAGATGCACCCTGAGAAATGGCGCCAGAGAAAGAAGCCAGACACACGTGCTCGGCTCCATGCGTGTGAAAGGTCGAGGAAGCGCGGATCCGCAGAGGCGGAAAGGGACCAGTGCTGGCCAGGGACAAAGGGGGGGGGGGGGGGGGGGGGGGGAGGAACTGCTGTGGGGTATCCTCTGGGGTGATGGAAATGTTCTGGAATAAGACAGGGCGATGGTTGCCAGCTCTGAGTGCCCTAACGCTGTTGAACTGTGCACCTTGAAGGCAGAAGGTTCTGGTAGTGTCATATTTAGTAAGAAGGGATCCCATGTCCTCTCTGAGCTGGCCGAGTCGGGCCTGGTAGGCAGTGAGTGGGCCTGCAGCCTTGCCGGGCCCTGGCAGCTGCACCAGAGCAGAGCTGCTGTGCCAGCTGCTGCCCAGGCCTAGGTGGGCACGGGGCTTCCTGAGGGCCAGGTCTCTGCCGGGGTCTGTGGATGGGCAGCTGGGCAGATGCTGCAGGGTGGCGGTCAGTTCTGGAAGGTCCCCTGTGGGGGGCTCAAGGCCGACAGTCTGGACCTGGGACTTCCTCTCTCCCTTGGTCTCTATGCAGCTCCTGCAGCTGCCTGTGCTGCAGGTGGCCGGAATCGCTACTCTCTTGTACCCTGAGCTGAGTTCCCTGCGGGTCTCGCTCTCCTGGTGCCCTTGGGCTGCCCTCCCTGGGCTCCTTCCCACAGGCAGAGTCCGACATGGCGGCTCTGGCTCGGCCTGAGTCCGGGCTGGTCCTCCTGGCCTCTCCTGGGCTGGACGTGCTGACTCACTCCTCCCCAGCTTCTCCCTCCCTGTTCTCTCTCGGACCAGACACCACCTGGGCCTCCTCTCCCTCCTCTGGGCCTCTTCATGTGGCCCTGTCCCCAGGTCTCCTCTTCCTCTGCTCCCTCCTCGGTCTGCCCACCTCCCCACCCTGGGACGCAGGGCTCTGAGGCGTGGCGACCCAGTGGACACGGCTGGATGTGATCTGGGCCTGGGCTCTTGGCCCTGGGGGAGCCAAGGCTCCGAGGTCAGGATGCTCCTCCCTGAGGAGGCCCTGCTCAGGACTGGCCCTGCAGGGCGCCTCAGTCCAGCCTGCCTTCCTCCTCCTGCTTCCCCGCCTGCTGCCCTGGCCTGTCCCTGAGGCCATCCTACCCGGCCTCCCACCCTCCGGGGGCCAGCTAGATGCGGACTTCTCTTCCGCGGAGTGAGCGTCATTGGAGAGCTCCGGCCACTGAACCTCATGGCCAAGAACGGGATTACCATAAGGATCAAACAGGAGTCAGGGAAGGCCTGCACAGTGCTCCGGACACAGCAGGGGTCTAATAAGTGCAGCCGGCCCTCCTTACCCGCGGCTCTGTGTCTGTGGATCTAACTAAATTCAGATTGAAAATATTTTTAAAAAAGTGTCGTCTGCACTGAACATGTCCAGACTTTCCCTTGTCATTATCCCCCAGAGGAGATGGCGCAGCAAGAGTCGACAGGGTTTATGGCGTGAGCAAACTGGAGGTGGGGTGTGAATCCACCGAAGGGTGTGTGCAGGTCACATGCGAACACTGTGCCATGTCACACGAGAGACTGGGGCATCCCTGGATCTCGGAGTCTGAGGTTGGTGGGGCGCCCTGAACCCCGTCCCAGGGATCCCAAGGGCTGACTGTAACTCGGCTCCCCATCTCTTGGAGGTTCTCCCTGAGCAGAGGGTGGGAGGCCACCTCCCATGGCCTCCAAGATGGTGCCCTTGGCGATCACTAAAGGAGAGATCTTCGGGACACCAAGTCCAGGCAGAGGCAGGGCCTCTGGGGAGGACTGTGGACGAGGCTGGGTGGATGAGGTTTGTGCTGGGCTTTGGGGGGCTGGGAATGAGACCATGGAGAGGAGGTGGGTGTGCCGGGTGCCACGGCAGAGGGCGGACGGGTAGCACTAGGGAAGGGGGGCCCGGCCCAGGGGTTAGGGGTAGATCTTTCTGGCTGTGATCCAGGAAGGTGCAAGGGGGGCGTGAAGGATGAAACAGAGGAGCAGTGACCAAGTGTCACGGAGGAGGAGAGGTGCAGAGCAGGGTGGCCGGATGGGAAGCCTGACTCATGAGGTGGAGGGGAGGGAGCTGGCTGCAGGGGCAGGTCCAGATTGCACCCGGGTGAGCTGCGTCTGCCTGACCCCACAGTGGCCCCCGATCTCGGTGCCCTCCTCCCCGGCCCCACCTTAGCCAGGTGCCCACACTTCCACAGGTCAGGCAAGGCCAGGGGCCCACCCCTGCCCCACCCCACGAGCCTTGTGGGCTCTTGACAAGCATCAGAGTACGTGGGGCAAGCCCAGACCCGGCCGTGCCCAGCTGCACCTGCGCGGCCCCCCGCCCAGGCTTGGTGCTTGCTGTCTGCGCTGCCCCCCTCCCCGCCGACACCCCCATTGTAACTTGCAGTCTCAGGCCCAGACCCGGACCTGGTGGCAAAGTTCACTCCCAGGGACCTCGCTGACACAATTTAGGAAAAGAACACGGAAAGCTGTGTCCTTGGGGGACTCCCCCCCCACCGTGGAGCTCTGCAGGTCACGTCGCGGGTGAGTCCTGCAGCGGCATGGTTCCTCTGAGTGGGTACCAGCAGGGCCAGTCCGCAGGGGCAGCGGCCAGCGTGAGCAGCCAGCTGTCTGAATAGGGGCTCTCGGCCTCCTGTCCCTGGGGGCAGATATGAAGTACAAGCACGTGCGCGTCCAGCCGTTTATGTAAATGTGAGGACACAGACTTGGAAGAACAAAGACCGTCCTCAGCCTCTCCAGCTCTCTGAGTTATCGTCCCCAAAGGAAAACAGATCCTCTGCTGCGCCTCTCAGAGGGAGAACCTAAGGATGCAGCCGGGGACATGCTGCATCCTCCGACCCAGGAGACCAGGCTGAACCCCAGGCGCCGGCTCGGGGCTGCCCTGCTCTCTAAGCCCCTGTCCCACCTCAAATCTGGGTCACAATACGCTGGGCCCGAGTTTGCCCCCTTTGCCTTTTCTAAGCTTTGGGCTAGGGAGGCCCTGGCCCTCTTGTCCTCCAGCCTCTCTCCTGTGGAAACCCGGGCTCCTTCTGTGGAGGCTGGGGTGGGGCACCCTGGAGGACGGGGGTCAGCGGGTGCCCACTCTGCCTGGTCTTCTTACTGCAGTGCACACGGACATGTCCTTGGAGCACGGGCTTCTACACTACGGGCTTCGGTGCTAACGGATGACAAATGCTCGTCCTCTGGGGGCGGGCAGGGGGACAAGCTGCTTCTGAGTAGTTCAGTTGTCTTTATTAGGACAAGATGTTTACAGGTTGGACAAGACACACTTTGTTCCACAGATATTTATTGAGAGCCTACTGTGTGGGAGACACGGCTGGTCCTCCATGGGCCTCTTGGATCTGGAAGGGTCTCTGATCCTATGTCTTGCTCTGGGGTGTGTCTGTAAGGGAGGGACACTTAGGGGGACTGACAGCTGTTAGGAGCCCTCTGTGGCACAGGCTCCTTAGGGACGTGTGTGTTTTATCAACTGCCTATTATAACGCAAGCCCCTACACCAGGACGAGGAGCCCGAGGAGCTCAGAACAGGGAGGAGTTGCTCTAAGTTCAGCATCGATGCAGTTCTAACTGGAAGCTCTCCCAGAAAAACGCTAGTTATTCCCTTCTGGGGCCATTTTGTGCCCTGGGGGCCTGGGTCTCCCCGACATAGGGGCGGGCAGGCAGCAAGTTCGCTCGGCCTCCTGGGGCAGCATCACTTACAAGCCACCTCGTCTCTGAGTTCCCATCCTGCGAGGCCATCAGGGAGGGGGACTCGGGTCAGGTGGCAAGGGGAGCACGGGGGCTGGGGATCCCCGCGGTTGCGGTGTCTCTACTACAGAACTGGAAGGAACCAGATGGTCTGCGCCTCCGATTCTGCATCTGAAAATGGAGCTGGGATGCCCGGGAGGAGGTGCCTGAAGACTCTGGGGCCTGGACCTGGCCCGGGGCTCAGCACAAAGCAGCTGCCCAAGGAACCCGCGCTCAGCCCGTGGCCTGTGTGGGCCTTCACGGCGGTGCTGCCTGTCCTACTCAGAGAGGTGAAGGGACTTGCCTGCCTCACAGAGCTGGTAGGTGAGGCTGGCCTCGCTGGCCCACTGAGGCCAGGAGTGACTGTCAGCACCCGGGTCGGGCCAGGTGACGACCCTCAAGAGCCCTCTGTGGGCCTCTTCCTCCAGAAATGGCTAAAAATGACCTCTTCCCGCTGCCCTGGCCTAAAAATGACACCAGCCACGCTGGGCAGCACTCGCATTTCCTCTACCTTTAAAGAAATGACGACGCGGTCACGGCCCTGGGCGCCTGGGCGCGGCCACCTGGGCCCGTGGGGGCCACTCACCTTGTCCTCCTCGGCCCTGAGGTCGGGCATGGTGCTGACGCACAGGCTGACGGCCGTGGTGGCCACGAAGAGGACGGAGAGGCAGGCGAAGACCTTGCCCGGCAGCCCGGAGCGCGGGTTCTCCACCATGTCGCCCAGCTGCCTCATGCACAGCCCCCAGCGCGAGCTGCGCCCCGCGGGGTGGCCGGCCTCGCGCTGCCGCTGCAGGGCCTCCTCGCGGCGCAGCTCGGCCGCCTCCTCCAGCCTCCCGAGCAGCCTGCGCAGGCAGCAGCGCTCCAGGCTGCCCTCCGCGATGCCCCAGTAGGCCAGCTCCTCCCGGAAGGACAGCGCGCACGTGTCCTGCAGGAGCACCAGCTTCCCGGCCGCCAGGAAGCTCGCGATCACCGCGAAGGCGCTGGGGCTCCTGTCGAAGAAGAACTCCTGGGTGTCCTCGTCGAAGTCGTCGCACAGCTGCCCGATCTCCTCGCGGCTGCGGCAGAGCCGGAGCTGGCTCAGGCGGCTCAGCGGGAACGCGTCCAGCGTGCTCCAGGGCAGCAGGAACCGGTGGCCCCCGACGTTGACCAGGACTTCCTTCTTGAGGTCCGCCTCCGGGGGGGCCTCCAGCGCGCCCAGCCTCCGGGCCCTGCGGTAGTACAGGCCCTTGGCGGACCGAGTCTCCAGGGGGCCCGGCAGGAGCTGGCTCAGGGGGCTGTAGGAGCCACCGTGAGGGTGTCCGAGGCCCAGGACCCCATCTCCCGAAGGCACAGGCATGGCCGGAGATGTCCCTGCCCGGGAGCAGTGGGAGCACCTGTCTGACACCAGAGAAAGGGCAGGAGGCAGGGAGGTGAGGCTGGGGGGGAGGCCCAGACCCCCAGGCCACCCGCTCCCTGGCTTTCCTGTGGCTCCTCCTGCACCCTCCTTCCCGATCCTCGACCCTCGTCTCCCAGAACAGCCACTGGGGTCATGGGGACTGGTCCTGAACTAGACAAGGTGGCCATCTGGGCTGTGTGGCCCGGGGCATGTGGCTTCGCCTCTCTGTTCTCAACATCCTGCATTCAAATGCAGGGACTCTCACAAACCCGCAGGGCGCGGTTGGTAAAGAGAGGCGGTCAGGGTCCCCGAGAGGCTCCCATCCCTTAGGGACTGGCCACAGCCTCTCCAGGGCCTCTGCTTGCTCTGTGAGGCTGGGGCGGCGTGAGGGCCCACGTCACGGGGCACAGGGAGGCTACGGGTGGGGTGCACTGGGAACACTCCAGATGCTCCCCAGTTAAGTGGCCCCGGCGGCCCCACCAGGCAGACGGGATTCCCCCTCCCTATAGGCAGGAAGAGGCTCAGCAAGGAGAAGCACCTGCTGCTGACAGGCTGCTCAGGGAGGCTGGCTACTGAGGGGTCAAGGACATGGGCCTCTGCTTCCAGAGTCCTGCTCTCAGGAGGAGTTCTGTATGACTGCTCTGTCCCTCTCCTTGGCTTCCTCATTTGGAGGACCTGCCTGGGAGGGTGGAGGGCACTTCGTGCTCTTCAGTGAGGGCTCTCCTCCATGCTGTCATTGTGCCATTGTGCGCTTGCCTCAGCCACCCTTGCTGTGTGACCTTGAGCTAGTTACTCCCCTTCTCTGGGCATTTTTTTTTTAATCTGCAAAATGAGGGGACCCCTAATGCTCTCTCCATTTCACACCTATTTGGACAGCTTGACTTAGACAAGCATTTAGATCTAGCCCGTTCACACATCTAAAAAATCGCCTCCACAACATTTCTCATCCTCAGTATTCTGCAACCATTTCTTATGGTGTTCCTTCCAGCCGGAGCTGTCTCCAAAGCATCTACAGCCTTACATTTGCAGACACACCGCAGTCAGGAGGAGCAGTCAGCAGCTGATGGAAATAAAAGTTCCTCTCAGTTCAGAGCAGGCTGGACTCTGGTGGATGGTGCAGAGTGACTCACGCTGGTGTAGTCCACACTGGCTGGCCCCAAGGCAGCCTGCTCTGCTGCATGTGTCACTTTGCTCACAGCGTAGGACCAGGGGAAGGAGCACAGCCTGCAGAGGGGACAGTGCTTGAAATCGGGGAGCGCTTACCCAACCTGCTTATTTCCCAGGTGCAGAAGCCAAGGCCCAGAGAGCTGCGGTGACTTGTCCAAGGTCACACAGCATATCCAAATCCAACCCAGATTCGGTTTCCCAGCCTGGGGCTCTGCCTTCTCTGCACTCACAACACACCCAACTGGGCAGTCGACTGCCCCCAAACAGCTGGCAAGCAAAGCTGCTTCTAGAGGCAACGTCTCAAAACAGGATCTCCGTCCTGCGCCCCACCCCCGCCCGGCACCAACTTCTTCCCCTGAAGTTCAGCTCACCCTCTTGCCTCACGGAGCTCATTTGCAGCGGCTTCTCTGCCAGGCAAGGAGAGCCCACAGCCCAGTGGCCAGGAGAGGGACGGTTTGTGGTGGGGACGAAGGGAGAAGAAAATTCCAACCCCAGCGGTTCCCGGCAGAGTTAGTCTCTCCCCTCTCCCCTCCCAGGAGCCGGAAGTTCATTCATTGTGCTCTCTCTCCTGCAGCTGCAGAAGAGCCCCGGGGGGATGTTAGAAGGACCCCCGAAGCCCCCCTCCTGAGAGGTGAGGGTCTGAGGTCGCGCTGAGGAGCTGGGCTTGTTGTCCTGCCTCAGCCGCGGACTCTCCAGGTCCACGGGGACGGCCAGCATGGTCCTGCGGGGGGAGGGAGGGCTTAGGAGTAATCTCTCCATCAGCCGGAGCCTGCTGCTCTGCCAACCGCCCAGAGCTGTCCTCCCTCCTTGCTAGAGCATGGAGCAGGAGTGGCTGGGCACCGCGGGGCCAGGGCATCTGCAGCTTCCTGCACCCGGGCGCCCTGGGGGTGCCTGGGGCGTGTGGGTGATGCCCGGGCTGCCCGGAGTTTAGCTGCTGTTAATCAGCCCAGGCCTGGGACCGGGTGGGACAGACAAGCCTAGCCTCGGAGCCCTGGCTGGGGATTTGGGAGGCTGCATTCCAGAATAGGAACAGGAAGAGTGTGAGCTCCCCAGCTCCCGTGCAGAAGGCTGGGTGACCGCGGGCCAGAGAGTTAGGTCCCCTGAGCCTCAGTTTTCTCGTTTGTAAGAAATAGAGGAATGAGAGGGGTTCGGGGCAGATCAGACCTGAGTCACTAGAGTAAGCTCCCCTGTGGGTTAGCCCTGTGTGGGGGAAGAGGAAGATGCACACATCCGGGGCCTGCAGGCTCTACCCCTGCACGGCCTTGCTGTGTGTCCTTGGTGAGTCACTTTACCTCTCTGGACTCTGTTTTCTCACTGGTCAAATGAGGACAGTTGCGCCAGTAAAGGCTGAAATCACAAAACCCCGTCTACTGGAGGTTATACATCTGTTCTTTTAATTTGCTTAAGAGGTTTGGAAGCCCAGACTCTTGGCCTCTGAACGTAGGTGATCTTTGCCCCTCCAGTTTAGCGCTGAGGCCGGCGGCTTGCCCAAAGCCCCCTTGCTGGTGAGAATCTGAGCCAGGTCAGGTTCCTCCTTAAGAGAGACTGGGTTCTGTCGCAAGGAGAACCCAGGCCCAGCCCCTTGGAAGGGCTGTGGAAATGCTGGCCTCCTTGGACTCCCTGGCCTGGGCCGGGGGTGAGGGAGTCCAGGCACAGGGAGGAGCCGAGGGCACCGGTGGTCTTCGGTGGTGTCCATGAGCCTCGGGTTCTGCAGGAGGGGTTGGGGCCTGGCCCCGGGCGGCACAGCAGGAGGAACAGAGACGTCTCTGAGCCGGCTTCTCTGCCTAGGCCCCACGGCTCACTCCCCTCTGCTCTGCGTGAGGCTTAGTGTCACCAAACAGTGTCCCAGCCTGAGGCCCTGGGTTCAGAGCTCCTGCCACAGAGATTGTAGGCATGAGCAGTAGCAGTCAGGCCCTGCCCTGTCCCCTCTCCACCCCGTGCCTGCTCCAATGGCTCTCATAGACCAGACTCCAAAATTCTCTGCCTCCTGATTTCTGCCCAAAGGAGGCCCCTTGATTGTTCATCCTGACTTAGCCTCTCGGGCCCGAGAACCCCTCCTCTGTCCCTCGTTCTCTGAATCTGCGGGGCATGAGTTCAAATCAAGAATTTGCCACTCCATGCTGGGTGGCCCTGAGCCAGTGTCTTTGCCTCTCTGGACCTCACTCTTCCCACCTGTGCCCTGAAGTCAGGGCGGCTCTCTGTTGACGTGACCTTAGCTGAAGGGCCCAGGCCCCGTGTGGCTGTGACTGTCATCTCACCGGCTCTCTCCCAAGCCCCCAGGAAGGTCAGAGAGAAGCCAGGAGGAGTCTGCCCTCAGAAAACCCTTGGAAAGGAGAGCGGCCCCCCCCCCCCCCCCCCCCCCCCCCCCAGGAGGGGACCACTGCCCCCGCCGCAGCCGCTGAGGACTCCCAGCCCAGGGCTCCGTCCCGGCTCCAACCCTGGCCAGCACTGCTGTCAGCTGGGGCAGTAGGACCTTCACCTGAGCCTGGGGTCCAGGCCACCCCTGCCCAGTCCCTCCGCAGGGCTCCCTAAGTCCTGGGCAGCTTTCGGCTCAGTGCTGCCTTCCTTCCCAGGACCCTCCCTCGGGTGGACACGACCTTGGCTCTCCAGGAAGGTACCCAGCCCGTCCCTTCCCCACAGGTGGGAAGTCCAGGAGGGGACACTGGGACATGCCCCACTCACTCTCCCCCCAACAGAGTCTCCTGACACACTTTCCTAGACAGGCCACTGTGGCCATGTGCTACTGTCCTGTGGCTGCTGTGACAAGGAATGCCAATGTCGGCACTGCCACTCAAACAGCACAGATGTCCCCCCCCAGCTCGGGAGCTGGGAGGTGCAAGGGTCCCCAGGGGGTGACATCCGGGTCTCTGGGGAGCCTCCGCCCTGCCTTTTCGTGCCTCAGGCCGCCCGCATCCCTCGGCTGGCCGCCCCTTCCTCCGCGCAGGGCCCCGTCCTCTCGGTCACTCCTGGCTCCTCTCCTGCCCTCCCCCTCCTGGGCCGCGGCCTCCCCCCTTTCCCCTGTAAGGACTTCTGTGATCACACTGAGCCACTGGATAATCCAGGATTGTCTCCCGATTTTAAGATCCTTAAATAAATCACGTCTGCAAAGCCCCTGGCCCAGGAAGGTGACATTTACAGATTGCTGGACGCCGTTGGGAGGGCATCAGTCTGCCTATCAGAGGGGCCAGCGTCCTCAGAGCCCCGGACCTGGCAGCCCAGGAGACGCTCCCTGCAGGTCTCTTGGCACGTGGGGCACCCCGCGTGGCCTCCAGGACCAGACCCCGATTCACAGTCCAGGACACACCGTGGAGTCCCCAGCCTGGCCACCTGCAGGGACCCTCTCCCTCAGCGTCCCTCGGGCCTTCAGCGGCGGAGGCGCTCTGGCCTCCCAATTCTCTGGGGCCAGCAGCAGCCTCGATTCTGAGTCCTCGAGCGCTTCCTGCCTCCCTCCTCGGCTCCACCCCCCGCAGGAGCTGCCACCCACGGCCCTTCCTTCACCCCACCCCCCCCCCCAGGGGCTGTCCTCCGACCAGGCTCCCCTTCACTCTGCAGCTGTGGCTTCTGCCCTCCGTCACCATGGAAACTGCTCTCCAGAGTGGCCACTGACCTCCCTGTGCCCAGAGCAAGGTCCCTGTGCGCCCTGCTCACGCTCCTGGCTCTTCTGCCTGCCTCCCCAGAGTCCTTGGCCAGCCCGGCCTCCCCGTCCATCCCTGGCGCTCCCCATTTCTGCACCTGTCCCCTCCTCCCATCTTGGTTGCACCCCTCTGGAGGTGACGTTGCTCCCTGGACAGTGGCCGAGGACACACGTTTGTGCCTGCAGTGCCCAGCTCTGTGCTCCCCACTCAAATTCCCCAACGCCTCCAGCTACACACTTCGCCTAGCAAGGCTGGGGACGTCCCTGCGCCCAGCCCTCCTCCACTGTCCACCGGGGTCACCGTCCTCTGCATCCGCTCTGCCTCACACAGAGCAGGCACAGAAACCCTGGGGTCCCAGTAGCTGCCCCACTCCCTGCACCCCACCTCCGCCCACCCAACCCCATACCCTGCCCTGCTCCTCCTGGATCATTCCGGCATGTTCTGGTCCCTTCCGTCCCTCTGTCCTTTCCTGGTCTCCACCTGGTCTCTGGTCCTCGCGTCCTCTGAGGAGGTCAGATCCAGACTTGTGCTTCTTGAGTTCTTCCCACGATGCTGTGACATCCCTGGGATAAGACCCGAGCGCTCACCCTGGCTGTGTCACCGTCACCGTTTCCCCTCTAGCAGGGCTCTGACTGTCCCTGTGCTGGCCACACCCCGGAAGCCGCCCCTTACACCTCGGCCTCACTGTGCGCTCTCTGGGCTCCGCGTGCCCTGTTGTGGGCACTCCTCAAACTCCTGCTCCTGGTCAGTGCCCAGCTTTGATGTTCCATCCTGAGATCCCCCCCACCCCCACCCCCAGCTCAGCGCCTATACTCCATTGTCACTTCCCTAGTTCTGCACCTCCAGGTGTCACTCTGCCCCCAGTGGGAGCCCTGTGGCCAGGGCTGGTCCTTCCTCACCCGCAGGTCCTGGGCTCCTGACCCTGCTCCCTCCGTGACGGGACTCGGCAGGAGCCAGCGAGGCCAAGCACCTTCACCTTGTGGCCCAACAAAGTAGCCACCTGGCCAGGAACACTATTTAACATGTTTTATTAAGTCCCTGTCATGAACAGATTTCAAAATGACACCCGAAGACTGCAAACAGGTGAAGGTCAAATGCAGGCCTCGGTGACCTTCAGGTATCGGGTCCCAGCTAGTGCAAACCTGGACTTGCCCATCTCAGGCTTCCTACTCCTGGCCTGGCTTCCCCTGGAGCAGGGACGCAGCCCCAGAAAAGTAGTCTGGGTGGCAGTTAAAGTCCCGGTGACGTGGCAGAGTGGCTAGGAGCCCAGGACCAGCTTTCAAGTCCCCGGGGGTGGTGGGCAGGCTCCTTGGCTCTGAGCCCGTGTCCCCATGTCCAAATTGGAAGAAAACTTATGCTTCGGCCACCTGAGACTCCACCTGAGACTGCACACCCCCCACTTCTCCACCCCAGGACAAAGCATAAAGAGGAGGGGCAAACATCACCCGGGCACTCGCTAGCTGCAAGGGGAAGCCGCCCCCTTGGGGATGCGTGCTGAGTGCCCCTCCCGTGACGACTTGGCATCTCCGTCACTGTGGTTTCCTGTCAAGCCTCCGGGGGTCCAGGGACCCGACTGATTTCTTTAAGAGGGAGAAGAGGATGTGCTTGCTGCGATGTGACCGAGAAAAGGCAAAGAAACGTCAACTGCAGTGACCCTCAGTTGGACCTTGGTTTTGTTAAAAAACTATGCAAGATGTTTGGAGTCAAGGCAATTGGAATATGAGGTGGACATCAGGCAGGATGAAGGGATCATTGCCCGCTGTGCTGGACGTGGGCGTGGTTCTGTGGCTGTGTGGAAAGTCCTCCTTATTTTCCTGGATGTCCTTAGGGAAGGAAGGATCCGGGGTGCTACGTCACGATGTCTGTGATTTGGAGTGTGGGGGGTTGTGTGTGTGTGTGTGTGTGTGTGTTCCTGCAGGAAGCCAGTACAACAACGCGCTGGTGACCCCGTGACTGGGTGGTAAGTGGAACAGCCATGTGGTTTGTGCACTTGTGGTTTTTCTGCATGTTTGAAAAATGTCGTAATAAAAAGATGCCAGCATCCAGAGCAAAGGGCGGGAGCCAGGCCCCCCGCTGTCCCCAGGCGGAATAAGAGAATGCTCCGTTTGCTCTCCCAAGGCGTCACCGGTCCCAACAGAGAGGACGCAGGCACTGTGGGGCCCCCAGAGGCCTCCAGAGTCTGGACTGCCCGCCTGTCCCTCTGTGGGAGTGGCCGCCCTGACAACCCTGCCCTTCTGCAAACCCACCGAGGACGTCTGGCCTGCTGAGGAGCTGCGTCTTGCGCTGGGATAATTGTGGCTTGAGCGAGCCTCTAAACAGGAAGCCGGGCCACAGCCAGTGGGCCAGACGTCCCCTCCCTTCCCAGAACAGGAGGAGGGGGGAGGCAGGGGGGCTGCACTGTCCCCAGACACCTCAGAAGTCATGACGGGGAGGACGAGGACGTGGAGCCGGCCACATTGCAGACTCCAGTGGTGACGGACAAAAAAGAGTCTCTGGGCTTGAGCAGCTTGCGAAGTCAGGCCACTTGGAGGCTGGTCACCGTGACCTGGCCGTGCCCTGGAGCTCCGCCCTCCACAGCGGAGGTTGTTAAAACAAATGGAAACCCAGTTTTTAAATTCAACCACACGGTGCACTCACGGCACCCTGTCATGGGCCCCGCCTCCCCGTCGCCTTCCCACTCTCGCGCCACGGCCAGGGCGGCCTGTTTCTGGACTTTCCCCCCCGCCGGCCACCCTGCCTGTCCTCCTTGCTGATGCTTCTCGCACCCACCTGACCACGGCCAGCTCCCGCGCTGCGCCTGGGGCCCTCGGCTTGCCGTGTGGGGTCCACCACGCGAATACGCCTCCACGGCCTGTCCTTCACGACGCCTCGGGGGGTCTTCACCTGGACAGAACCCCCGGCCAGCAGACACGCTCGTGCTGCGTCCACGGCGCCTTGAGTGCTGAGTGAGCTGGACACATGGAGGATCCGAGAGGTCGGCTCACGACTCGGGATGACCACCCTGCTTCGGAGGGGAAGCTCCTGAATGCGGGCCCACAGTGCCCCTTCCCAAGGCGGGGGTCTGGACCCCTGTTTTGCCCACCCCCCCACCCAGCCTTGGGTCACCCCTTGGCTGCGGGAGGCGCCTGGATCTGGGACCTGGGACCTGAGTGTGCTTTTACTTCAAGACCATCATGGAAATCACAGAGCGCCTCAGTCCCCCCAGTCCACTCTGCATGACCCCGGGGGTCCAAGACTGTGTTCAGGCCACTCCCAGTGGGGTCTGTGGCCTTGGCCAGTGGTCAGACCTCCCTGATGTCCTGTGACTGAGGTGGCAGTTGCTGAGACGGCTCAGAGCCCCCCAGTGCCACCTGCCCGGCGCCTGCTGCCGTGACCCTGCTGCCCACTCCAGCCCCTCCTCTGTTCCGGTCTTCTCCCACCAGCCTGTCTGGCAAGCGGCCTTCCTGCCAGGTGGCCTCTCCTCCCAACCGGTGCCAGGATGCCTTTTAAATTAACTTAGACCACATCCTGACGGACAGAGGAAAGGGCGTGTCCCTTCACCCCTCCTCCACGCCCTTCAGTCTCCCACCCCAGACACAGCACAGTCTCTAACTCCTCAGCCGGTTTCAGAAATAGAGATTCTAGCCAGGCACAGTGGTGGCCCACGCCTGTAATCCCAGCAGCCCCAGAGGCTGAGGCAGGAGGATCACAAGTTCAAGGCCAACCTCAGCAACTTGACGAGGCCCTGTCTCAAAATAAAAAATAAAAAGGGCTGGGGAGTGGCTCAGTGGTTAAGAGCCCCTGGGTTCAATCCCCAGGTCCAAAAGTAAAGGGAAAAGACTCAGGAATTCTTCGCCCCTGCCCCTGGCCTGGCTTGCACGGTGCAGGGTGGGTCACTCCCTTCTGCTCTGTCTTCTGCCCTGCCCCCTGTGCCCTGCACCCTGTGCCCTGTGCCCTGTCCCCCATGCCCTGCCCCCGTGCCCTGCACCCTGTGCCCTGCGACCTGTGCCCTGCCCCGTGTCCTGTCCCCCATGCCCTGCTGGTCTTTCCTCCCCGGGAGGCAGACTCGCCTGATTCTCTTCAGTAGCCCAGAGTTCTCTCCCGCCTTCATGACCAGCCCTCTGCCGGCCCCTGCAGGAGGACGGCTCTCATTTCCAGCCCACCACTGTCACAACCGACAGGGCACATCTGCACACATGTCTCTGTGCACAAGTGTCCGCAGGCCACTCCTGGCCCACGACGGAGGGGCAGAGGCCAACTGCTTCTTACCCTGATCAACAGTGGCAACTGGCCTCCAAGGGGCTGGGCCAGCTCCCCCTCCTGTGGCACCTGAGCAAGCGGAAGTGACCCGCTGATCACGCCCCTGGGGATGGAAGCACCTCCCCAGGCCTGGCTGTGCGTGGGAATGGCTGGGGAGCTGGGAGGCAGTCCCAAGAGTGGACCCACGCCCGGGGTTCTGAGCTCATCTGGAGGTTCTTGAACCTCTCCCCAGGGGAGGATAGGGTGTGCCGGGCAGGAGAGCCACGACTTTAACCTCACCGGAGCTCAGCCAGCTGGGCAGGGGTAAGTCCTGCCCCTCCACCAGGAGCCCGGGCACCACCTTCCCACCTGCCTCTCCGCCTCCTCTCCCTGGCCCCTGCTACTTACTTCATACCCCAATCTCTGGTCGCACCAAGTCCCTTTTGTTTCCCAGAGGTGCTTGGTCCCCAGCCATCAAGGTCGCCGGCCGTCAAGGTCAGCTGCACCTTTGCCAGCTCCTCCTTGCCCTCCCTGGGCAGCTGCTGGGCAGAGTCCCCCTCCACCTGCACACACACACACACACACACACACCCCTGTAACACCCTGCGGACCCAAGGAGCAGGCTTGCAAGAGCCCCTCCTTAGCGTCTCCTCCCAACTTGGCCGTCGCGACATCAGCTTGCAACTGGTCAAGGTAGGGGCATTTAGAACAGGGTGCCAGGGCGCCAGGCAAACATACGGGAGGGAACTTTCTCCCCAGAAATCCAGCTGTTATCAGTTGGCCGGGTCTCCCCTCCCTCTCCTGAACACTCTCCCCCCCCCAGGAAACTGGTCCTCAAGAGCCCATCTCAGTGGCCAAAGTCTGATGGCCATCTCTGGACAGGAGAGCCACACGGTGTCATGGAAGAGGGTGTAGGTGTGGGGAGCAGGGCCTTTCCGTCAGTTGACGTCAGAGCACCTCTGGGGCCCAGGTGGCCGGCTGGCATGGCTTGTGGCCCCCAGGCAGCTCCCTGCACACCCTTGTCGGGCAGGCTGCCTGGGAGGTGCTGGGTGTCAGTAGGTCCCTGGGGAAGGGACAGCCAGCTGGCACCGTGTCGGGACATGGGAGTGGCTGTGGTGGTGGCTGCAGTGTGGGGGGAGGACGTTTCCGCAGTGTCGGTCCCAGGAGTGGAAGCTACTCAGGGTTGAAGGTAGTGTTGGGCCCAGGAGGCCTGTGCTGGTGGACTGGGAGCCTAAGGGGTGGGCACAGTGTCGGGGAAGCAGGCCCCTTGCAGGGTCTCACTCTTGGAGGCCTCTTCTTGTGTCCCCTGGAGCCACTCTGTGCGCCCCACACACACACACACACAGGGAAATGGTTCCACTGGGCAGAGTGTGGGGACATCGCATTGCCT